CCTCCCTAGCTACACCACATACACCACAACGCCCACACCACCACACCTAGTCCCACCTGCTACAACAACCGCAACCGCAACCGCAACCACAACCACAACCACAACCATAACAACAGCAACAGTTATAATAAACGATAACAACAATAACAATGATAATAACCTTCAAACTCTTCCCTTCCCCTCCCCTCCCCTCCCCCTGTTCCACTTGAAACCCAGGAAAGGAAAAGGAAAAGGAAAAAGAAAAGACAAAACAAGGTAAACATGTGGTGTGATGTGGTGTGGTGAGTGAGTGCAGCAGAGGAAGCAACGAGAAAGAAAGTGGGGGGGGGGAACAAGGGTGAATGGATGGGTGGATGGATGGATGAATGTGGTGGTGAGAGGACTGGAGGGTAGGGTGGGGTGACTGAAAAAAAAGCCCCAAACAAAACAGAGAGAGAGAGAGAGAGAGATAAAAAAAGCCAGAACCAGAAGCAGAAAAAAAAGACAAGGTAGGAGGGGGAATATTTTTGCGCCGTCTCATGTTCCGAAAAGTAAAAAAAAAACCCCAACTCCAATGTGTGTGTGTGTGTGTGAGTGTGAGTGTGCCTTTCAGCGCGCCATGTGTGCATCAAGTGTTGAAACCGAACCGAGCCTCTTTTTTTTTAAACAGACTTTTCTTTTGGTCATGTTGCAACGGTGGTAGTGATGGTAGTAGTGGTAGGTGTAAGGACACCGCCGCCAATGGTATCGTCATCGTCATCGTCGAACTCGTCGAACATGGTGCTGTCGGCACCGGCGTCGAAATCATCCGTGTCAATGTCGCCTTCCTCGCCCGTGTCGTGGAGATCCTCGTCGTCCTCGTCGTCATGCACATGTTCAGGCTCCACGTCTACCGGCAAATGCGTAATGTGGGCGCTCATGCCGTTTGCGTACGTGGTTTGTTGGAGATGCATCTGTGCCAAACCCTGATGGAGGGCTTCAATACCTTCCTGCAAATGTTCAGTCATCTCGACATTGTTTTCCTCGTCGTCCGAATGGTCGTATGCGGTATGGAAGAGTGAGGGGCCTGATGCGCTGATGGTGGTAAAGTGTGCTGGTTCCTCCATGACTCCAAACACAGTTGTCACGGTGATGGAGTCCGGGCTCGGTATGGGATCATAGTGGTAGACTCCAGCGAAAAACTCGTGCATGGCCCCAGCCAATTCATCAGCATGCCCACGCTCTTCCTTGTCCTTTTTCAGTTTAGCCATTGTACGTTGCTCAGCTTCTCTCCTTGCTTGATTCTCGGCTTCCAAACGGCACTTTGCGCGGACACTGGGTTTGCGCGTACATGTCGGACAGTGGTAGTTGACGGTGCAAAAGGTACATGTGCAAGACGGCGTTGATGCAGAACATTGCTAGATAAAGTGTCAGCATTTCGAATTCAACCAAAAAAATGGTGTACTAACATCACAAACAAGAACTGCACATTCTGAGCACTCCTTGAGAATGGCCGGACACTGTGGTCTGCTGTCTCCGACTGGCCTTGGATACTGACAAAAGTAGGCCCCGCAGCCTTCCCACTGGACAGGGTGCCGTGGATTGCACGGCAATGGAAGCGGGTTGCTGACTGGGTGGTTGACGGGCAATCGCGGCGAGTTTTGTAACCACGGACTTGTAGGCCGGCCTCTGACGCCAGAGACACTGAGGGATCGTGGACGGGCCGAGCTGACAGGAATAAAAGACAAGGAGGATGCAAGTGGGAATGGGTCGGGAGGTGGCATGGAGTTGAGCGAGGCTGTCGTCGACATGTCGACTGACGAGTGCTGTGGGGGAGCAACCAGGATCTGGGATTGTGACATTGGTGTCTCGGAGGATTCAGACTCGTTGTCTCCGGTAGAGTAGGCGTCATTGTTGGAGTTGGATGCAGTAGGCGTGCGCTCGGGATCTGGTGTGCTCGCCCGATTTGGATTGAACTCGGGGATGACTAGTCGTTGTGGTGGCTCGTTGTGCGATCGGACATGCTCACGCTCCGTGTGTAGTTCTCGATAGCCGCATTTGCGGACTTTGAGTGCCCTAAAGTCGTGTTCTTTACAGATTGGACTCTTGCAGGCCCGGCACGAGACCTTCCACCTGAAGCTCCTATAGCAGTCATTGCACAGGCCTCTGGGACATGTCTGCTGCTGCAGATCCAGCGAATCCTGCTTCAAGTATGAGAGTATGTCAACGTCCTCACCAAGCACGTACTCGTAAAGACCGTTGTTCTTCAACTCTCGGATGTAGTCGACGGGCCGAAGCGTGTTGCTAAAATCAGGGTCCTCAAACTCCTTTCTGCGCGGAAGAGGGGCGGCACGTATCTTGTCCGCTCCTCTGCCACCCAGGCCGGTTCCCAGGACAGCGATGCCACCACCGCCAGAGAATATGGGTTCCAGACAACACCAGTGCATGTTAAGTTTGGGTGGTTCGCGGTTCGCCGGGGGGACAGGCATTCCGTTGTTCATATTCCCGCCGTCTTCTGAATCGGACGAGTCGTCGTCTTGTGCACTCTCGTTCATGAGGTTGGGCGATCGAGTTGCGCCTGGCGCCCACCAAAAGCGGTTCCGGTCGGCCTTCTCTTCGTGGTTCCGTTCCTCGGCGGACGGTACTGATGCAGACGCTTGCCCAAGCGCAGTACCGAGCGTACCGGCACTGCCAAACGCCAGGCTGGCAAAGTGCCGTGTCTTGGCGCGTTTTCTCGGTATTGGCCTGTTGAAGGCGCAGCTGGCACACAGCGTTTTCCGGCAGCCCATGCAGTGCATACGAACGCTGCACGACTCACATCGCTCGAGAATGATGTCATCGCATTGCGAGCAGCGGACGTCGTGCACAAAAGCCGTGTGGCTCCTTCGCTCGTGCACCGGGACATGCTTGCCTTCTCCTGCAAAGTTGCTATTCTCAGGCCCCAGCGGCTCACCGTCTTGGCCGGTCTCGGCAATCTCCCACAGCCGGCCGTCGTGGTCACCCAGCTTCTTGGTGCCGTCCATGGGGCCGATGCGGTTGCTTGATCGCCAGAGGCGGTCAAAGGGCACCCAGACCTCCATGTTCAGCGGCCCTGCTCTTCCTGCGTGGTAGTCCTTGCGGCGGAAGCACCTGCCGCCGGGACTCGGACACCAGGCCGTGTCTGTCCATATTCCCAGCTGGTGGCATATCTCGATGAGCTGGTGGGTGGGATCGGAGTCGGAGTCGCGGCGGATGAGCGACGAGGGGAGGTAGGGGCGGCGGCGGTGGTGGCGGCAGCGGTACGTGTAGAGGCTTTTGAGGGCGAGGTCGTTTTGGATCCAGGGGGCGTCCTTGAGGGTGTAGGGCTCGAGGAAGGGGACAATGTGGTACTTGATGGAGACGTTCTTGCAGCCGCGTACCGACAGATGGCGGAGCGTGTGGATTCGCGGGCCCAGGACGCTGCCGACCAGGGCGATGCCCGTGACGGCCGTGTTGCACAGGTCGAGGCTGGTCAGGCGGGTGCCGTTGGGGGATATGATCTGCTTGAGCAGGGCGTCGAACGAGTAGGCCTTGGACTGGCGGTCGCGGTTGTCGGGCGTCTCGTTGCCCGGCGAGCCGACGGCGACGGCGGGCTGGGGCAATCGGAAGGACAGCGTGCGCCAGGCGAGGGGGTAGTGGCGCAGAAAGTCGCGCAGGTGGCGCGAGGTGTGGTAGAGCTGGAGGAGGGTTGCGGTGGAGATCTGGGCGAGCAGCGATTCGAGGATGGGGGGATAGGCCGTGATGATGGATTCGAAGAGGCTGAGCGAGGCGGCGGGCGAGCAGGCGAGGCCGGTGCTGGCTTGGGCGGCGGCGGCCATGGGGGTGAGGATGGTGCTCATGGTCGCGGGCGTGTCGTCGGTGACGAGGGCTGGGGGCTTGGGGGCATCGCGGGCGTCGCAGGTCCAGACGTGCGTAGCCATGGTGCCACAGCAGCAGTAGCGGGCTGGCGGGCTGGCGGGCTGGCGGGCGAGAGCGAGAGCGAGCTGTAAGTAGGCGGCTCAGAGGCTCTCTCAGCAGCAGCGGCGGCAGCAGCAGCAGCAGCAGCGGTGCGGGCAGGGCGGGCGACGAGAAGGAGGAGAGCGGCGTGCACACAAGCGCAACGCGTGGGTCGTGTCGCGCAAGCGAAGGTGGTCGTGTGAGAAGGCGTTGGCCAGTCGTGCGTGGGCTGGTCGGTCGGTCAGTTGGTTGGTCGCCGCCCGCCGCCCGCCAGCACGCCAGCCCGCCCGCCAGCAGCCCGCCAGCAGCCCAGCCAGCCCGCCAGCCAGCACCGACACGGGCCAAGCACCGCAAGGCGATCCGGCTGCCGTCGCCGGGCGATCCTGGGCCCTCTGTGCGATGTGCGACATGCGACTCCCTCACCACGCCTCTGCATTCACGTCACCGCGCCCGCCCACATGGCCTGCTCTGCTCGGGTACGTACATGTACATGTACATGCTGCCTACACTATGCCTACTCACGCCCACCCTGCCCTACATGCACGCCCATTCGGCCCTCCTCGCCCTGCAACGCGGCCCTCTGCAGCCTATCACCCACCGGCACATAGCACTGCCGCCCCCTGCAGCCTTGCCAGCTCAACACCGCACAAGCTGCACGCCCGCCTGCTGTGTGCGCCTCATTGCCTCGTGCTCCATTCGCCCTGGCGCCGACCCGACATGGGCGGATATCTGAAACAATCCTGCAAACACAAAACCCGTCACACGCTCCACATGACAACCCGCCAACTCACAGACTCCATCCAAGACTCCTCCTTTCCCCCGGCCCCAATTCGTCCCTTTGTCCATTCCTGCCATGCGCCCAGTCGCCCGCGTGAACAATGCTGTACCAAGAACCCCTAACGAGAAGAAAAAAAGAAAATGACACACAGAGAAAAGAAGAAAAAGAAAAAAAGAAGAAAGGAAAAAGAAGCCACCACGCCCGCCTGCGCGAGTCAACCCTGCCGCCGCACCATCAAGTGCCAACGGGCGGCGTTGCCAGTCCAAGGCTAAAACATCCAGTTGCCCTCCGTGTCTCGGTCCTCCAGACCATCAAAGACAACAATGTCCCAGTCCAGCTCAGCACGCGACCCAGGCTCCGGCTTGGGCCACAGCGAATTGTTCGTAAACGAGAAGACGGGCACATGCTGCCCCGTAGCATTGACTTCCATCAGCTTGCTGGTGTCGGCGTCGACATCAAATCCAGTCCGCACCGGCGGCTTCTTGAACTCGAGCTCCACCGTGCCAAAGTACGGAATCGTGAGCCGCGATTTGCCTGCTTGCTGCTTGCTCGGGTCCAGCGACGACAGTATCTTCTTGAGCACAATAGCACTCTGAGCCGCCGTCCGTTCGCGTGGGCTGGCTTTGGCCAGCTTCTCCATCTCGCCAATCAGTCGGCAGAGCATGGCAAAGTCCGTCCCTTTGTTCTTCTGCACTTCGCTCTTCTCCTTGGTGCCCAGTTCGATAACAATGTCCAATGTCAGAGTCACGGCCGCTATAAACACGGCAATCTCGGCTACCCGACAACAAGCCTGCGTAATCGACGCGTTGCGTAACGCAAACCACCGCATCAACACGTTGCGACTTGCCTGCAATGCCGTGAACTTGGAGCACTCGTACCGGTCGTTGAGGTGCGCGCGGAGGAGATAGGGTAAGTGGAGGAAAATCTTCGTCTCAAAGTGCCACATCTGCACAATCAATCGCTCCAGCGCTGCCGACGACTCGGGCGACTTGGCCGTCGACGGTATGTTTGGCACCTCCCAGAACTCTTTCGGTATCTCTCGCACGTACGACTCGAGTTGCTCGTCCAATGCGAGCGCTGCCGAGTACGCCTGTGGCGAGACTTCGCGTTCCAGCCCGGCCATCTTGCGCGAAATCGTGTTGAGCTTGGCACGATGGACCAGGTGCGCATCGTCATCTCCCAGCAGCGGATAATCCTCCGACCCAAACGGAAGCCGGAGGTGCAAACTGAGATACCGGTCGAGATCAACAAACGTGCGCCATATGCTCCGTGCATTGGATATAATCGCAATCGGCGGGTTGTCGTCTTGTTGCATCAGGATGCGCTGGAAACCCATCAGGTGAGTTAGGTTAAGCCCGCGCCGCACAACGAGCCACGCCTGCCTCAGAGACGCCGAATCCAGGTGGTAGAAGGCGAGGAGCAAGAGCGTCTCGAGCCCATGCAGTGTCATCATCTGCTCATCTGATGAAGCCACAAGAGAAGTGACAGTCGCAACGTAGTTCCGCACCGTGTGCTCGAGATTCCAGATGCTCGTCAGGCGCGAGCTGTCAAAGTTGGGCGGCAGTCCGTTGAGGCAGATGGCCAGGTGCAGAAGCGTACGAGCGACAATGATGGGCCGTTCTTGAGCCACGGCCTTCATGTCCAGCGTATACGACTGCTCGTCTCGGTGGAGATAGAGGTCCTTGGACGCTCGATAGATGGTATCCAGAATCATCCAAGTGTTTGATGACTCGAAGATAATGTCCGCGTCGTGTTGCGACGGCAGCAGAGCCGTCAGAGACCGATGAGCATGTTCGTCAGCGTCGCAGTCGCCTCTGCTGTCCACTTTGCCCATTAGCGTGCGGATCGAAGCTGCTGAATTCCATGCTTGTGCTCCAGGCTGCCATGGTTAGTAAGTCGTGCGTGTGCCAACAAAGCGTCGTCAACTCACAATCCCGTCACCTATCGAAGACAGGCTCGTCAGGTCGTCCGAGGAGCCTGTCCTGGGCCGTTTGTGATGCCTGTCGCTCGAACCCGATACCGTCAAAGGAGGACTTTGTGGCGACAAGATTGGGCCGCCACTCGTCGGACTCTTGCGACATACGAACCGCTCAAAGAGTTGCTCCAGCTTGGAAAGCCTTTCAGCCATGTGTGTCGAGCAGGTGCTGGCTTCCTCTACTGCATCAGGTTTGGTCGAACAGCTGATGATCGCTTGAGCTGCATTGCCATGAAGCTTGCGCTTCTTGCCTATGCACGCTTGGGTTAGCACGTAGCCCTCGACATACTGGATGGGTTTCGGCCTCACATTGCCAACAGGCCTGGAGGCTTTTGCCAGTCCTCTTCTTGGTTTGGTTACTGGTGGTGCTTGCATTGTCCATGGTACTGCGAGGGACCGTTGAATATGTGTGATTTCTCGTTCAGCCCACTCGAACTTCTCCCGCCTATCCAGACATTGTATCGTAAAGGACGCGGCCTTGCTTTCATAGCGGGGCGTGGCCGATGCGATGGCAACAGCGGGTGTGGAGCTGACCGTTCGGGTTGCCGGCCGCGATTCGTCCGTAGGTAAGGATCAAGGCCGAGGATTACTCCACACTTCCACCATGCCATACCACTGCGGCGGGTTTTGGAATCGGTACATTATTCACCCGTTTAACTATTAGCATACACACTCTTGTGGCGTCGCCTATGCGCGTGTTCTTTGCTGCCGTTACTCTTTGCCACTGTTGCTCGTCGATTGTCAATCAGGAGAGCTACGTCCGACGGTACGGTCCATGGCGCGCTTTGAATTACTCAGACGGGGCTACGACCGATCCTCCGTCGGCACCAGTAATGACACCAGTGCTTACACGGCCGTATCTCCGCTAAGCGCGAGCAACCCCGTTAGACTTCGGACAGGAGCATTGTGCGCTGTCCACTAGTTGCGTCTCCCATAGCTAATACACATCAGGATAGTGTAGAATCGCCGTGTTCTTTTTATGTACTTACATACATACACCCACGCTGCTGTCCATTTACAACCTCAGGATAGACTGACCTGCACTAGGAAAGACAGCGTAAAGGTCTATCCGAAGTCTTGCCGACCCGTGCAGCCCCACCTGTACCTGGCAGGCTGATACCACAGCAACAAAGACATTTTGAAAGCCCAGGAGGGTTATCCGCTGTCCATGATACGTTACCATGTGCAAGGTTATGCGTGTGTTCGGGAACGTCAGCTGCATGCGGATCGGAGCTTCCGTAGAGTAATTTGCTGCAGATGTGGGGCCTCTCGTCTGTTAATCGCCCTGCTCCGACGTCTGCTGCCCGAAGCAGAAACGTACATACAATACCACGCAAGCAGTATTGCGTTAGTGTCCTAGGCAAGAGTAATCTTAGAGGCAGCCACAACACCATAGTGAAGTGGCGGAAGCACCCGGTAACCTGGTGATTCTTAGCTTAATGTGGCAATCGCTGAAATTACCGTAGAGCATGTCAACTGCTGGACATTGTGCTATTGGAGATATTATGGCCCGATACTGTTGTAGAGGAACTAATAACAGCATGGACAGGTTACGTTACGTCATTCCGAGGCATGCATGCATTGTCAGACATGGCCATAGCCACTATGTACAAACTCATGCGGGCCGAACTAGTACGGAACACCATTGTCTGTGAATATGTTCCAGGTTTCTCGGAAGCCGGCCGGTTGATGTTAAACTCGAACTGACAAATGGCTCGTTTGAGACTAGGCCGTGGAAGAACCAGATTTTTTTTTACTTGGGACTTTGGCGATGCTACCCGGTCCCTGGGGTATAGTGATGATCAGGTCTGGTGAGGTCGCGTTGCCGCTCACTCACGTAGTCAAGTATGAAACTGAGGAGCACTGAATGCCTGTCGCTCGTTGGAGAAAGAACAGGAGTATGACGCGAAAGACGAAAGAAACCCAAGCTGCAAGTGTGACACGATCCCATTTGGTGGATAAACACGGTAAAGTATCGCACATGACTGCGAGATTTTTCCGACAATTGGGCCTGTTGTGGTGGCGCAGATACAGTCGGAACCCCGTGCGTACGTGTATTGTCGACGTCAGCGCTCGCCTTCCACTATCTGCGGGTCCTAGCTCCGAAGCAATGCAGTCCATATATTCACCGCCTCAGGCGTACATATCGTCGTATTCCTCTTCGTCGTCATCTGCAGGCGGTGGCGGGGGCTTCTTCTTCTTCAAAAGCTCTTTGCGATCAAGCGGACATGTGGCGTTCAACTTGAGCCATGGGCCTATGCAGTCGAGATCGAAGCGGTGGTCCTCATGGCACGGTAACTGGACCACAAGTGGATACTTGTCTGCGGGTGTTGTGGTCAGCCAGCCTCCTCTCTACTGCCATTTGTAACCCACCATCGAGAAACGGGTTGACACAAATGGGGCATGTATCTGAAGGCTTGAGCGTCTCCTTGGGCACCCTCTCCAACTCGTCGAGGAAGCTGTCCGGAACGCCCTTCAGTTCAGTGGGCGGATCATCGGCGTTCTCGCGTAGCACCTCAATCATGCTAGCCAACAAGTCTCCCTCGCTATTATTCTCGTCCGCCGGTCGTCCGCGCATCGTCTCGAAAGCATTAGCAAGCAGGCGGAACGCCGCCGCCATGTTTTCGGGCTGCGGAAGGGCATGGACGTTCGTATGTGACCGCGGATCTGACGTATCGACGAGCTCGAGCTGCGAGAAAAAGGTCGAGAGGTCCGGCCGCCGTGGCGGCCGCTGCGGTTTGTCGTCTTTGGTGGAGATGTTGTGTTCGACTGCTTCAGGTTACTCGCTGGACTGCGCCTGCATACGCGCGGACTCACCCTCGTAGCCAGACATGGTGGCGAGTAGATTGTAGTAGTGCAGACGGGCGTATCGAAGTCCTGGGCAATGCCCCCCGCCAGCTGGAATTTTGGAGCTGTACACAGCAACGCGTCACCGTCGGTGCCTCCGACGCGCGAGCATGAAAAGAGGCGACCCCGCGGTGGCGCATATGTGGCGCAGCACATGTGGCGCAACCCCAGACCCGCCCGAGTCATGTCGCCTTCTGTCAGCTCAACTCTTGTGCACGCGACACCGGCGGCCTTGGCTTGACGGGAAGGGGGCCTCGACTGTGGAATGAAGCGAACGTGTGGATAACATTTCATAGGCGTTTGACCTTTGCTGTCACAAACGACCTGCGACGAGGAGAAGATTTGACGACAACAAAGACCAGACGCATTACTCGCCGGCCACGATCGGCCAGCAGCAGCGCGTCCTTTGCAATCTCTGATCTCACTCTTTGCTTCCCGCACCGGCTGGCGAAAAAGCTTGTAGCAAACAAGCACGTCTTGGCTAAACAAGACGGTCACAGCAGCCAGCAAGTTGGCGACACCAACACGGTGATTGGGGCGCAAAAGCAAGGCGTGAAATGAAAAGCCGGAAACTGGGTCGTTGGTGGAGCCGGGATGATCCAGATCATGGGCTCAGCCACCTTTTACAAGTCGTTAGCTCTCGGATATCGTCACACATGCCCCTCTCGCCAAACATACTTCGCAACAATGCCGAACGGGGCACAGCCTCTTTGCAGCGGCAACATCGATAAGCAGCGCTGCATTGCTCAAAAGGGCGAGGTAGCCATTGTGTGCACTCAACTTCCCCTCGACGTTTGACTTGTTGGCCGCCAGCACACCGGATTCCTTCGCATTGTACACGTACCTCACCGCCTAGCCCAAAGAGTAGACCTCGACGCTCGACACACTGCACGATATTTCCTAGTACTTTTCCGGCCTTGCTCCATGTCGCTGCTCATCATGTCCACCGATACGCCCTCTGCGCTGGATAGGCTGTCGCCGTCGTGGATCCGCCGCCCACTCTCGCGGCGGTCGACATCGCCACACAAAGAATCAGCACCGGTAACCGCAAACGGCTTCCTGGCGCCAGAACCAGTCCGGTGCAACAGCGACGAGTCTCGCTCCACAGGCACCACTAGCCCATCGAGCCGCCGCGGCTCCGTCCGCGAGATAGTCAACAGGCTGCGCTCGTCGTCCAATGCCAGTCAGGTCAGCAACAGGTCGCAAGACGTCGACCTGAGCGAGGTGGAAAACTGGTTCTATGGCTTCCGAAGGTACAACCAGCTCGTGTGCAACAGCATATCGCTCAACCAAGCATACGCATCCAAGGAATTCGCAAAAGCAACAAAAACCCTGACCAAAAACTGCGGCGGCCAATTCCTCCACGGCCTCCCCGAGGCCGTATTCGACTACTCACTTCTCTGGTGTCCCGCGGGCCCCTTGACCAGGAAAGCCTCGGACGAGCCCTCATGGAGCTGGTCTGCCTACCACGGCCGCGTCAACTTCCCCTTTGACCCGACCAGCTGCCCGGACATTTACAAAATCCCGCGCAGCGAGGGCGAGTGGTTCCGCTCCGAAGTCGTCAACTACCACATTGGCCCCAGCACAGCGGAATACACAGTGCGCCGCGAAAAGAGCCCAGCGCTGCGCATCAAGTACCCCCCGTACTTCCACGCGCCGCGCGGCGCCGACCACAAGACGCAATCCAACACGCTGCGCTTCACAGCCTCGACCATTTCCGCCGACGGCTTCAGCGCCGAGCAGCTCAACCACAACGGCAGAGACATCCCCTGCTCGCACCTCATCAACGAAGACGACACCCACTGCGGCGTCATCATGGACTACGAATCCGCAATCTCACAGCCTTCCTCGACAGGCCCCTATGAATTCATCCTGCTCTCCCGCAACCTCTGGTGCAGACCCAACCCCGAAAACAGGAAGCCACATCTCAACACCATGCACCCGCCCGGCACACCCATCTGGGCTGCCGACGACGCACAGTTCCTCTGGGACCAGGAAATCCATGATTTCGCCGCGGATGTGTTTGCGCCCGGCCCGTGGAAAATGCTCAATGTCATGCTTATCAAGTGGGTCGGCGACCATGCTGAGCGCGTGGCTATCGCGAGGATACATGAGGATGCGTGGCTGCAGCGGAATCCCGTCAAGAGGGATATTATCTTGATGTAGCCATGGCTATTATTGTTATTATTGTCTTGGTCATGGTGGAACTTGAATATGATATACCCAGCAGTGTACTATGCAGTTTCTTTGTTTCTTTTTCTTGTTGAGAGAGCATTTTCTTTTTTGTTCAAGGCATATGCGTTATGACGCGCACCTCTTCTCTGTGTTGTGTTAGTAGGATTTCTTTTCTTATTGCCTTTTTTGTACTCAGCAATGAGACTATAGTTAATTTACTCATAATACGCTTGAATACGATTACATTGTAGCGCGTTTACACGTGGCTACAAAAGTTTGATGCTTGATTAGACTATGATTTGCAAAGGAAGAAATGCCATTGAAATACAATAAGCATGACGTCCTTGCTTTCTATATCGATATGCGTCCCTTTCTATTTTCTACAAAATTCGACTTGTACATGTATCTACGCTCTCCGAGCCCACTTCCTAACCCACTATATATACACATGGCTACACCAAGCTTAATTCTTCTTTTCTTGCGCCTTCTTCTCCAGCTTCTCCAGCTCTTCGTCTATGCGCTTAAAGCTCCAGTTCTTGTAAAAGGGTGGGTACAGAAAGGGCCTTAGGTCAAAGCGGTTGTCATCTGGAGAGTAAGCTTCGGCATGGTAGCTGGGAGTCATGGTCGTCATCTTGTGGCGGTTGATGGCATAGTAGTGGAAGAAGCGCTTGACCTTGTCTGCTACTTCACGGGGGGTATATTCGTCGCTCCATTCGTGAGCAAGACGGACCCAGGTTCCGTACGGACCAAGCTTCATCTCCTTGCGGCACTTTCCAAAGACACCGAGTTCCTTGTAAGTCATGCCCATGTCGACCTCGTCGCTCTGTGCGTATCCCTCTGTCAGAGGTTCTAGCTCAGCGGTTGGGGTGGCGTCGAGGAACTCGCCGAGAATGGGAATCTTGAATTCTGTCTGTGCGTAGGCAATGAAACGTTTGAGATCCGTCTTGGATATGGAGCCAATAGGGTTGAGGTCTGCACTGCTGCAATCGTACTTGGTCAAGTAACCGCGGAGACACTCGTCCACATTTCCTGAAGCAAGAACTAAGAGACTGCCTCCGTTGGGTCTCTCTCGAGCTATGGGGAGCATTTGAGCAAAGTAGTAAGAGGATACTAGCCTAGTCCTAGCCTGGATGTTCTGCAGCGCTAGGTTCTCTGCGGGCTGACCGCCATGGGCCCTAAAGCGCGGGGTAAAGCCAGTGGCCTTGGTCAGGAGATTCTTCTGGCTATGGTAGATATCGTCTATGTCCGCCTCGAGGTGATGGCTTCCGATATTTTCCGCCAGTCGCTTAGCGCGGCTCCTCGTCTCCGGGCTTGACTGCTGCGACATGCCCATGAAGACGGTGTGGAGAATGCCGTTGCAGATTTGCTGCGCGCTTTCTGGCAACCAGCCTTCTGCGTAGTAGGGACCCACTATTCTACGAACATCGGCAATGACTTGCTCATTGCCGTCCTGTACAGCCTGGTATACCAGTCGACACATGGAGAATACCAAGGTGGCGGTTGCACAACTGTCAATACCGCCACTCAGCGGGAGCATGAAGCCGGCCTGGCCAGATCGCCGGAGGTAGTCCCACATCCAGCATGCAGGGCCCAGAGCAATTTCTTCCTCGGGGGTATGCAGGCGCAGTTGTTGAACTGGGGTGGGCCGGTGGTCGGGGTCAAAGTCTGTAGTTGCAGATGCAAGCCTAAGGTTGGCGCGGAAAAGCTCGTACCGTGGAGCTGCTACAGCTTGCAGACCGCGGGAAGGGCTTGTGCGATATGACCAGATTTCCTCGAGGTCTATGGTGGCAGTGACCACCTCGACGTCTTGCAGAGAGAACTGTGATCCTTGGGCACGGATGGTGCCATTGACGAGAATCATGGCACAGCCGTCATAGTACAGACGATCGCCGTCACAGCCCTTCTGGTTTGCATAAAGGTAGCCACCGCCGCACTTTGCCGTTGCTTCTCTAATCAGGTCAATGCGCGTGTCGAGCTTCCGGAGCTCATGGTGGGAGCCGGAACTATTGATTATGATGTCACATCCGGCCAAGGACAAGGGGATGTGAGGGCTCATGGGGGTAAAAAGTTCCTCGCATGTCTCGTATCCCAGCTTGCAGTCAAGGGCATTGATGATGCCGTCACCAAAGGGCACAAAGTGGCTGTCCTGCAGCGCCAGCGCCTCGTGGGAGAGCTCGAGTAGTTCATATTGCTCGACCTGCTGGGGACGGTTCCAGGGGATGAAGTAACGGCCTTCACGGTAGTTGCCGGCAGAAGCCAGGCTCATCTTTGGGCGGATCAGCAGAATCTTGCCTGACAAGATGATGACCCTGGCGTTGTACAGGTTGCCCGACTGGCGGACGGGCATGCCGACATCGATGATGATGTCGTCGAGCGAGCGGTCCAGCAGCAGCAGGCTGAGCTGCTCCCAGCTGTGGCGAATGCTGTCCTGCTCGAGAAAGTGGTCGAGTAGGCCATAGCCGCAGATCTCGAGCTCGGAGCCCGCGCGGTATGTGCAGCCTTGATCTACAGAGGCATGAGCACGCGGGGCGCCGGCGCGACGGGTGCATCCAGAGGCGTACCTTTTGCGACTCGGATGCTCTGTTTGATGCGCTCCATGTTGCCCGACCAGTCGAGCTGCGGAGTGTTAGCGTGGCCATGGGGAGGGGCTGGGGGGAGCACATACTGCCCACTGGTTCAGCGAGCAGGTCGCGAGCTTGACGAGGCGGCCCATGTTTGCGGCGGGGGGCAGAGCGGGGCGGGAGCAGCGAGGGGATGGGTGGCAAGGGAGGGCTGTGGTTACTGGTGATGATGATGATGATGATGATGATGATGGAGATGATGATGGTGGTGGTTGTGGTGATATTGGCAGTGGTGAGGCTCGGCAGGTATGCATGCAGCAGCAGCAGCCAAGCGATTGGCGATGGAGGGGCACGTCGAGGGTGGGAGTGGTAGCAAAAGTCATGGTGGGGTAGCAGCCAGGCAGGCGGCGCTCGGGCCATCCGGCGATAGGAACGATAGCAATATTAGCATGAGCATTAGCGGTCGGCGTGCATGGCGCAGGGCTCCCCCCCTTCCCCTTCCCCCCCCCCAGCAGCAGCCGGCAGCCGTGGTTGGCGCCCGTCCATGTGTGCCCACATCCACGCACTATGCATCCTTACATGCGCTGCCCCTAGCGCGCTACAGTGGCTTGCGGCGCATGGATGCGGGAAACCCTTCTCCACAAAAACCTCTTGTCCGTCTCTCCTACACGCGCAAATGTCCGAGTCGTATGACCAGGCGCTCGCCCGCTCCCAGGCCCGCCGCCGCCGGAGAATCGACCACAGCGAGCTTGCCAAAGAGCGAGAGAAGGCCTTCTACCGGTCCGTCACATGATGCTCCCGCCCGCTCTGCCCGCTCAAGTGCCCTGGCCATTGGCACTGGTACTGACTCCATGGCTAGATACTATCCTCGCCCAGGCTTCCAGCGCCCGCATACAGATGGCTCAGCCAGCCGCCAGACGTCGCCCTCGCCCGCCTCCAACTCGCAGACGCCTCCGAGCACCCCGCCGCCTACGCTCGACTATGCCCCACGAGCCTCGGACGACAAGGCCCTGACGGCCTTTGCCCAGCTCGGGGCTCTTCGCCTCAATGCCCGCCGCTGCCTCATCTCCTTCTTCGACCGCAAGGACTGCTTCCTGCTGGCCGAGGCCACCAAGACGCTGTCCCTCGACACGGGCGAGGCCGAGTTTGACGACGACCGCCTGTGCTTTGGCACCACCATTTTCCCCAAGGAGCAGAGCCTCTGCTACTACACGGTCAATCTCGCCCCAAAGTACACGACGCTGCCCCTCGAAGACCCCAGCGACCTGCCGTCGCTCATTGTGAACGACCTGAGCAAAGACCAGCGCTTCTGCAACTTTCCCTTTGTCAAGGGCCCGCCCTACTCGCGCTTCTATGCCGGCGTCCCCATTCGCAGCCCCACCGGCCACAGCATTGGCACCTACTGCGTCCTCGACGAGAACCCGCGAGATGGGCTGACGGAGCACCAACTTGCCTTCCTCAAGAGCATGGCAGGCACCGTCATGCGCCATTTGGAGAGGACAAGGGCGGCCGAGGATCACCGCCGGGCAAAGATCATGGTCAGGAGTCTGGGCTCGTTTGCCGAGGGCAAGAGCGGGCTGGAGAACTGGGCTCAGGATCCGTGGGATACCGAGCAGCCTGAAATCACCATTGACTCTCCAGAAGCGATGCTCCCCCAACGCCAGCGTCCTGCTGCTACCACGCCTACGGAACAGCAACCCCCTGTGCTTAATGGGCATAGTCACATTGACCTCAGCATGGTCGGGCCGATGAATGAGACAACGCCGCCTATCAATCACCTCCCGCACACGCCAAGCTCGCCAACCACTAAGCATCCGACGTTGGGGCCTAGCCAGATTGTTGACCCTGTCCGCCCGGTTGCTACCGCTACCACCTCCTCGACCTCAACCAAGGGGTTCCCGCGGCCCAATGAAAAGGACAGAGCTGCGCCAGAGCTTAGGGCCCACTTTACTCGGGCTGCCAACATGATCGTTGATTCGACCGAGGCAGAGGGCGTTGCATTCTTCGATGCCAAGATCAGCACATTTGGCGGCCTTGTTGACGATGACTTTGACCCCGATCAGTTGCCCGAACCGGACAAACCCTGCGAGATTCTGGGCGCGGCGCTTTGCAAGACGGACCGCGATGTCAAGCCCCTACCACAAGCGGGTGAATGCATATCGGAGAGCGTCTTGCGACACCTTCTTCGGCTCTATCCTCACGGCCAAATCTTCCATCTCGACCATGATCCCTCGTCCCCTTCGGTCAATTCCCCATCCACTGGTCTGGATGAGTTTGAGTCTTCTGACGGATTTCCATTCACCTCCTCACGTAAAACCGAGTCTTCAAGAAGTTTGGACGATGAGGCGTACTTGAGACGAGTCTTCCCTACCGCACGCAGCTTAATCCTGTATCCGCTATGGGATCCGCACCGTGAGCGATGGTTTGCGACAGCCGTCATCTGGAGCTCTGAGCCAAAGAGAATATTCACAACCGAGCAGGAGCTAAGCTATCTCGCAGCATTCAGTAATTTCGTCATGGCCGAAGTTGCTCGTCTCGACACCAAGCTGGCAGATGCTGCAAAGGCTGATTTTATTTCTTCCATCAGCCATGAGCTTCGTTCTCCCCTGGTACGTATTCATTGAAGTTTTTGTTCTTACAACCAGGCTAACGTCATGCTTCAAGCATGGTATACTCGGAATGACAGATCTGCTGAAAGACTCCTCTCTCGACAACCAGCAGGTATCACATGTTGCAACCATTGAGACTTGTGGTAAAACTCTCCTGGAGACTATCAACCATGTAAGCTTGGCACGTTTCCGCATCCGACTCGTCGCTAATCATGCAGGTCCTTGACTTTGCCAAGATTAATAATTTAACACGGGGTGTCTCGAAACGACAGAAGAAGCGTACCCAGAGCGCCAAGCACATAATCAGTCCCGGCCGGGCTCACACCAACGACATCATGACGCTTATCAATGATGTTGACATGAGCATTCTGACAGAAGACGTGGTTGAAAGCGTCTTTGCCGGTTACACGTATGCAAAGACATCTGCTCAAACATATGAACTCAATGCGTCTACAACGAGCAAACAGCCAATTTCCATCATTCTTGACATTAACCATAGTGATAATTACATCTTCCGCACCCAGCCCGGTGCTTGGCGACGCGTAATCATGAATCTGTTTGGGAACAGTCTCAAGTATACGCCTGGTGGCTACATCAAGGTAAAGCTTGAGGTGAAGCGAAAGCCCCACCATGAAGAGGGAACCTGTGAGTTCAGGTTCTCCGTCACTGACTCTGGCATTGGCATGTCCGAGGACTACATCAACAACAGACTGTTCCACTCGTTCGCCCAAGAAAACCCTCTGAGCCAGGGTACCGGTCTGGGCCTCTCAATCGTCAAGCAGATTGTCGAGTCGCTGGGAGGAGAGGTCGAGGTACGAAGCGAGAAGGATCGCGGTACCAAGTTTGTAGTCACATGTCCTTTGAAGGAGTCGCGTATGTCTCCAAACTTTTGCGCCACTGGCCCAGAGTGCGAAAAGGACATACATTTACAGGAGGTTGCCAAGCGTACCAAGGGCTTGAAGGTGCGATTTGACGGTTTCAACCAAGCAAAGGAGCATATCGTCAAGGACCTCAAGAACAAGAACGCGTCGAAGCTGTCTTTGAAGGCTCTAGTTAGCCTCTGTGCCGACTGGTTCGGCATGGAGCGATTCGAGCCAGGCGGCAACGCCTTGGAGCCGGACATGATTATTGCCACTGAATCCTGTGCCAAAGAGCTCCGCACTCAGTACAGCCAGTGTCCTGGAAAGATTGCGGCAACGCCAGTCATTGTCGTGTGCCAGGGAGCTGCTTCCGCGCAATCAACTACAGCCATCACGGTGCCAGGCATCATCTTTGAATGTATCGGCCAGCCAGTCGGTCCCCACAAGATGGCAAAGGCACTCGCTTCATGTCTCGATCGACACTCCAAGCGAGCTGTCGTACACAAAACCACGAGCGATTCAGCCCTTCCCAAAATTACCGAACTTAGTCTTAAAGACGCCACGCCTTCTAAGTGCACCGATCACGTGGGGGTCGAAGACGCGGTTCGACCACAGCTCACTAGCACTATCAGTGCTCCTGAGATACGGTCGGTTGCGGCTCGTCCCAGCAAGCCGTCGAAATATAAAAAGTCGACTCGGGCTTTGCGATGTCTTTGCGTCGACGACAACCCCATCAACCTCCGTCTCCTCCGCACCTTTGTCGACAAACTTGGTCATGAGCACACCCTCGCAGCCGACGGTCTCGAGGCACTTGAAGCCTACAAAGCTGCCAAGAATGAAGATGAATCTCGCATTGACGTGGTTCTCATGGACATCAACATGCCTGTCATGGATGGCCTCGAAGCAACACGCCAAATCCGCGCCCACGAAATCCGCCACAATCTGCCCAAGGTCACAATCATTGCACTCACTGGTGTCGCCGATACCGACATACAACAAGAAGCAAACTCGAGTGGCATCAACCTCTTCCTCATCAAGCCCGTGCGCCTAGCCGACCTTGAAGTCATTCTCAAGGGCGTAGTCACCGGACAAGACAAAGCGAACCTAGAACTGGAGGCTGAGAAGGAGAGGCTGAAGCTTGCAGAGACGAACGCAATTCTAAACGTGAATGGTTCAGACGAAAAGTCAAGGAGCGTCAACTTTGGTATAGCAGTCGGCAAAAGCGAGGAAACGGTGCACAAAACCGTCAAGCTGCAAGACCATCAAAAGAGGGTGTACATGGCTTGAAAAGCAGAAGATGATGATGCATGACCAGCACATCCCTTTGATAACTAGGGAAGCCTTATCCAGGCCCCAGGAAGTATGCTTGTCTGATAGATGAAAGCAGAGTAGGTCTCGCCTTGATTCTTTGTAGAGAGCAGCCCTATCTTTGTCTTTGCACAACACCTCCCTCCTCTCCTCCCTCTCCCCCCCCCAATAAAACGCATTTTGGCGTTAACCAAGGGCAGCAGTAGCAGCAGCAACCGCAGCAGCAGCGAAAAAGAGGCATTGACATCGGCGAGAACTTTAATCACGAACCTCCGCCCCACACGATACCAACGAGTTAAAAGCAAGCCAATTTCGCGTTAGCAGCAAGCCCAATCTCATCCAGTCCTTTTTTTAAGTTTGTTCCTCTCTCCACACAACATAACACAACACAAAAGCAAGAAGAGAGAGTCACAAGTAGGAAAAAAAGCTTAAAGGGGGCAAAATTTCGCTCTAATCTTTTTTTTATACTTCCTCTATTAGGAGAGATTCTTTTTTTCTTCTAAAGAAATCTTTTTTTGTTTGTGTCCTTTTTTAAGTTGAAAGACACGACTCATATATACGCATTTTAGCGTGCAAAACATTACTATCAAGTAGGGGAGATATCCTAATAGGGGGTTGGGGTATGAGAGGTGGGTGGTTACGGCAACGGAGATCGAGGGTGGGAGGTGTTTAGTCACATTTTTTTTTATCTAAGGATGGTGCAATATCCAATGGATTTTGCATGCTCAAATTCTAACAAGTTTTCCTTTTGTTTATTCTTTCTTTCTTTCTTTCTTCACTACTTCTCGTCTCATATCGTGTTGTTTTGTGTTTTTGGCTACAAAATCAGAACATGCATATAGAGACAGAGCCCGAGAGCTAGTGCTAGAGTAAGCAGCCGCAGGGGCTACAGGAAAAAGACCCAGAACAGTTATGCACTGCAGAAAGGAGAAGAGAGAAGAAAAAAAACCCCTTCAAATTGCTAAACTCATTATCAATAGCTGATTAGTGAGGGTGGGCAGGCGTCAGGCGTCTCTATTCTTATACTTATCATATCCCTAATTAAAGGCCTTTTACTCGCTTTTTTCCCCGCCTCGCACATTGTCCATTTTCCTTTAACTCGGTATTCTTCTAAGCCATTGTTTTCTATCTACCTCTTTCTATTCAGCAAAGTAGCGAAAACTTTGTATTCACTCTGCTACTGTACTCAAACATTCTTATCATATCTAAACTAGTTAGTCCGATTATATGCTATCACACCTATTCTATTCTGATATAAATCCAGTCCAACACACGTATATATAAAGATACCGCTTAATAAACACTAGTTTTTGATTTCCTCGCACTTATCCTGTCACTTGTACGCTCTCTACCGCTGTTGTTCTCGCGTGGTATGTATGTATATGGTTGATGATTAGGACGTTTGGATGTGGTACTAGCCTACTCTCTCTCTCTCTCTCTCTCTTATTAAAAATAAAAGTATCGTTATCGTCTCTGTAATAGCTGTACTCAACTTGACTCTACTCTTTTCCACACTCTACCCTACCCTAGCCCAGCTGTTTATTTATCTACCTATTTCTCATACTAGTCTACCCCACTCTACACCACCCTACACCATATTACACAGCATAGCACGGTACAGCATAGCACAATATACAATATAAAATCATACTATATATCACATACCCAACCTAACACCCCCCCTTTGTTCTTCTTCTCCTTCTTCTCCTTCTTCTCCTTCTTCATCTTCTCATCAACGTATATCCACCACCCCGCACACACACACACACACACGCTATATCTACTATCTACCATCTACAAAGTATACACACCAGGCAGCCGACGCCAAGCAACATAAACCAAACCAAGCCAAACCAAACCAAACCAAACCAAACCAAGCCACACAAACAAAAGTAAAAATATCAAAGTCGAGGATGTACAACGCGTAGACTACTGACATGAACAATGACGGGATATATCTACTCTACCTTCTGCATGGTGCACAAGGTTAGCCCTTTTTGCACCACAAACAAGAAAAGCAGTTGCACGATTAATTTATTTTATTCTATTTTATTTTTATTTTTTTTTACGAGAGAGGGACATGTGTGGAGTGCTATGGTGGTGGTGGTGGTGGTGGTGGTGATGGTACTGCGATAAGACGGTAAGAAAGATGAATGGATTGTTGTTGTTTTCTTCTTGTATCTAACGGGCTGACTAGCTGGCTGGATGTTTGGATGCATGTTTGGATGGATGGATGGGTGGGTGGGTGTATGTATATAAGAGGTGTAGAAGAGTTAGAAGGAGTGTGTAGTAGTGCTGAAAAGAGAGAGTGATGGAGAGAGAGAGAGAGTGTGTGTGTGTGTGTCACTGCCATCTTCCATCATACATTCCATTGCATTGCAGACAATGTACTAGCGGCAGCACCTCGAAATGACTCGTGAAAGCATCAAATCAAATCAAATCAAATCAAATCAAATCAAATCAGTGATTCAACATGCGAAGCAGTAATGATCGTTGGGACATGACGTTTGGCAGATGCATGTAATACTACCTAGGCATGCGGACCTGAGAACGTGGCACATGATGGGATAGAGTCAAAGGGAGTGCCAGCACATTGTGATATTGTTTTTTTTCTTCTTAATCTACACTTTGCTAGTCTGTACGTTGGGGGAAAAAAGGAAAGGAGCGTCGGTACAAAAGGGAAAAGAAGAAGAGATACGAAAAGGAGAGCAAAAAAAAACTACCATATGTATACAATACAAACTATCCTGTCGTGGGGGCCATGCGTTGTTGTGTACGGTGTCATGGTCGGAACCAAGTAACCTTTGTCATCTAAGCACCGTTGGTCATATGGTCATGCTTCACCTCAGCCATGAACTTGCCAATAGCAGGTCCCATGATGATAAAGGCCTCAAAAGCCAGAACGTGAAGAATGACGAGCAAGAGACTGGTGACGAGGAAGAAGTTCTTGGCAAGGAGCTTGATGAGGCGACGACGAGCCTCCCAGGTGAAAGACCTCCAGGCGTCCAAAAAGCCAACGACACCGGTTCCACCCATCATCTTGTTCACGACCTTGCCGCCAAAAGTGCGGTCAAAGGGCACGATGGTGTCCTCGTCCTCGGGGAGAATGGAGGCCTCAATACGAGCAAGAGTAACGGTAGCAGGGAGGCAGAGGAAGAGAGTACATGTGATGGCAAAGATGACAACACCAAGTGCGCGAGCAATGGCACCCATCCTCTGGGCACAGGTGGAGGTGGTGGTAGTGTCCTGTCCAGCCGACTTGAAAAGGAGCATGGCAACACCAGCAGTAAGGTAAAGGCTGATGTATGGCATGGCTGCTGCAATGGCGGCAGGACCAGCGAGCGTCTTCCAGTGGCTTCTGGCAGGAATGCGCTTGCAGAATGGCTTCTCAGTTGGCATGCCAACGACCCTGTGTGTCCATGTGGCGTGGAGTCTGGCGAGGAGTGCACCAGAGATGGCGGCGCTGAGAATGGCTTGGCCAGGGACCTTGGCAAGAGCTCCATTCAAGAAGGTGACTATGATGCTGCTGAGTACCGAGTACACAATATGGATACGGTATCCCCGGAAGCGCGCGCCGCGGCCAGCATTGTCGACAAGGTGACGGATGGTGCCGCGAATCGAAGAGGTAATGGGTTTCTGGTTGACGAGGGCAATGGTAGGGCCGGCCTCAAGGAGGTTCTCCTTCTCGCCCTCCTTGGCAGAGGGCTCCTGAGCCGATGGGGTGACGGTGATGGCAGCCGTGAGAGACTCGACCATGCAGAGAGTTGTAATGACTTCGTTGAGCATGTAAGACACCTAGTATATTATCAATGCGAGGCCTTGTCATAGCATGGTGATGCAGCGTGGATGGGTGTAGAGTGCCAGGCTGAAGGGCATATTGCTTACTAGGCTGAAGGCGATGCTGCCAGCGAGGATCGTCAGATAGACGATAACAACGCCCCAGATAGGAACCTCTATCGGCTCTCCCTGTCCATTCTGAAGAGCCGCGGTGCGCTTAACAACCGTCGCCGCATGCGGGTGCGCGGCGGCGCGACGAGCGAGCTCAACGAGCAGGGTCATGTTGGATGCTCACTCTCGTGGAATGCTCGTGGTGAATTCGTCAGTCGATGAAGAGCGGGTTGCGGAGGTGGTAAGAATAGAGAGTGGGAGAGAGAAGGCGTGGCCACAGGCTGACGGAGCGAGGGCTGACGGTCTTGAGGTCAATGCTGGAATAGGCGGCAGCGCAGCCAGGAGGCGAAGCCGCGCATGGCCAAGAGGCTATGCTGCGACTGACGCAGCACTGTGCTACCCGCCTTACGCACGGGCCAGGTCCCACTTAGCCGCTGATCCATAACTGGCCTTGTCTGAACTCGGGGTAGACGGCAAATGCTGCTACTAGACGCCCGCACACATGCTCTCTTGCTTCCTGTCGCATGGCCGGCTTGGAGCACGCCTTTGGCAGTACTTGCCATGTAGCCCCCTGATCTGGGAGAAGACATGGTCGTATATCGGCTGCGGCACTAAGTTTGAGACAACGTCAGCATCGTGTTTCGGCCACAGCTACGACTGGGAGGCAATACATCCAGGCATCCGGCCTACCAAGCGAGCCACTAAGTAGCGGGCCGACGTTGGACGCCGAAATACCGAACGTCACCGCATATGGCCCATCAGGCTTTGCACGCAAGAGCTTAACTAAAGGACAGTTTTATTACAACTCCCATGTTGCCAGGACTACCATACCGAAACCCCATCCCCCGGAGACAAGGCCGTTCCAAGAAAACCGACGAATGCAGAGGGAATACTAGAGACGCTAGAATAGAACCAAAGAGAAGCATACAGAAAAGAAAACATTTGCAAAGGGAAAAAGGTGATGCACAGGTGCTAGCTTTGCTTCCAATTTCAGGCTCCTTGACTATCACAGCTGGCACCAAACGTGAATCGTCAACCGTGGTCGTCATAACGGTGAGAGTGTGTGCGAGAGATGGATTGTGGCGTGTTCAAAGGCTACATGTGCGGGAACGCTCGAGATCAAGGTTTGGCTCCCAAGGTGCCGGGCATAAGCAGGGTGAGATGGGCCTGTTTACAGAGCAGGCTGCGCGACCGGCTCGTGTTCCTCTTCAGAGAGTGACTCGGCCACGGGTTCGTGCTTGGGAGCGGCAGGGAAAGCTTGCTTCTTGACCTCTGGAGAAGCCGAGCGGCCGCGGTACTGGTTCACAGTCTCCTGGGCCTTGGCAGTAGCCTGTTGTGTGTAGCCCTGCACAGTCTTCATGGCCTGCTCGGCGCGCTGGTTGGCAAGGCCCTTGACTTGCTGAGCCTGCTGGTTGGCAATGTTGTAGCCCTTTTCCAGCTGAGCGTCAATCACATCCTTGTTCTTGATGTAGATGAGGGGGCCGAGGAAGGTGATGTGGGTCGCAATCAGAGCCAGGCCCCAGAGAGGCACAAACTTGATGAGGAAGTAGGAGAAGAGGGATGCGAAGAAAGCCTGGATAAGCAAGTCAGCCGATGTGTTGACGAGTAGAGTAGAGTAAAGGGGGGAGAGCAAAAGGACAGGGCTGTACTCACAGCAATTGTGACGTAGACGTTCTCGGCAAACACAACACGCTGCGACTCGATGACAAAGAAGTTGATGAGCTGCTCAAAGTCGTCCGTCATGCGCTCGAGCGAGGCCTTGGGGATGGTGAAGTACTGTCGGGGACGGAACTGAGACGTCAGGCCACGACCAATGGTCAGCTGCCCCGCAACCTCAGCCGCGGCAGTAGCACCAAGGACCATGTACGACGTCTTGAAGATGTAGCGGATCAGGTTCAAGTAGCGCGAGGCGAAGATGAAGACGATGCTGCTGGCAAAGGCGATGGCGGTGGCGCGGGGGTTCTTCCAGCTCAACAGGCGGTAGAACATGCTGTGGTAGTCTGGGTGCGAGTCAGCCCAACATTCCCAACGAGGGGTTCACGGGGCGAACTTGCGAGTGAGGTTCTGGCCAGTGGCCGTCTTCTGCTCGGGCACCGTCTTGGAGTTTGCGAGATCAGCAAACTCATCGCGCGTCTTTGCGCCCTCGGCCTTGACATTCTGTGCAACGGGACCTGCGGGAATTAGCTACAGGTGTCGTGTGCAGACAGCTCTGGGAACGTGGACTGGGCGGCGGGTGTCAGCGGACTGTGGCAGAGGCGGGGGGCGGGGGCGTCTACATACCGTACCGTTCATGACGGCGTTCTTTGCGTTTTGGACGCTGGGGTGGTTGTTTGCGGCGTTGATGGCGTTGGTCGCTGCTGCGAGGGTGTGAGTTTAGGAATTCGGGTGTGGTGCGGGCCGCAGATAAGACTGCGATGTATTCCGTTAGCCTGCGTCTCGGCAAAGCGTCGAGGCCCTCGTCACACTCACCTTACTCTCGAGAAGGCTGTCCTTGGCCTGGGATGCGCTCTGCTGCACGTCGTGGTGCGTGGTGCCGTTGGAGTGCGGGGCAGCTTCAGCGGCCATGTGGTCGAGCTGCTCTGGAGTCTGGGCCGTGGTCTGCTGGAACTGGTTGACGGGCGCGGATAGGTCGAAATCCAGGGCGGCCGTGTTGAGCTCGACGCGTGGGGCTTCCTCGGACATGGCTTCTGTGCTGGGTATGCAGCGGCGGGCAGGTATCAGGCAGGCAGGCAGGCAGGCAAGGGCAAAGGCAAAGGGAACAGGAGGTTGCAGGGGTTGGGGAGCATGGGAAAGGGAGGAGGAGGGTGGGAACTGGCTTGGTTATGTGCTGCAACTGTCGTGTGCGCAGTTTGCTGGGTATTCACAAAAACGTCATGGCTCCACATGGCTCTCGCTATGATTTGTTTTGGCTGTCATCCACGACGTGCCTCGCAGCATACAGGTTTCCGTGGACAGCCATCGTCATGGCCGTGGAAGCGACTGCCAGCGGCACGCGGGTCTCTGAGGACACGGCTGTGGTTGCGTGTCGACATGGCCTTTGGGCGGCGGACGGCGGGCGGCGGACAGGGCCTTGGGCGTGTGCGTGCGCGGGCCCCGGGGCTCGGAGGGAGAGGTTTCACATGTGAAAGATGGGCCGGTATCGTCTTCGACCCCTATGCATGACGCCATGGGCAGTGGGAGGCGGACGGCGCCCACTAACACGCAAACGTCGCCGTTCGCGCGTGGCTCCATGGAGAGACGGCGTGCTGTTCGCTGGTAGTCTGTATAGTACGTAGCATGCAGCATGGAGCATGGAGCAGCTATTTGTCGGCTGGTCTGTTTGGCCTGCTGCCAGTCGGGGCGAGTGGTGCCAGGGCGTGTCTCCTCTTATGCCAGGTACGTAGCGATGCAAGCCGGCCCCCTGTGTAGATCATCATTACGCCCGTGATCATGTACATGTAGTATGTATAGGGATGTACATAGTAGTACATAATACTGTATGTAGGTACTTTTGTATGGCCTTGGGGGTGCAGTGCCGTGCCCATGGGCCAGACTGAGGCATTTTGGGCAGCATTTTGTTTGGTTCCGTCAGCGGTCGAAAGCATTGGGAGCAAAACCCCCACCTGGTCACTGCGCCTGGCCACCGCCGGCCTACTCACACTCATACATTATTACTTGCTCGTACTAGTTGTATGTCGCATGAAACAAGCTGAGCTGTTGCTGTGGACAAGGCTTGCTCTGTGCGACGAACCATCTAGCGCTCGCCGGCCCGGTGCTTACTTGTCTATACACACACACACACACATCACATACATGTGGTTCAGAAAATACAAAAAAACGGTTGACATCAGCAAACAACTTTCTTTCTCTTTGCTCTTCCTGCGGCTCTCTGTACATGCACCGGGCCGGCAGTGCTCTAGTCGTAAAACACGTTCACGAGGGGTCAGGCGATGGAAATGCTGGTGGCCTGTCTTTTGCCGTATTTCGCGCAACAGCGCAGAGCAATACACACCGGATGACATGCGAGCGCAGCCATGTGACACGCTGCACGTGGCGGCGACGGGGTGTTTCTGGTTCTCGTTGTCGTCGGCGGCATGGTATCGGTCAGCGAAGACGAGCGTGAGCAGCGTGCGAGGGTCGACTGGGAGGGGCGGGCACGGCTAAAGAGCATCGAGTCGTCGCATCGAGGCCGGGACATTCTCACTATCACGGCCGATAATGAGCCGCGTCGGGCGTGCAGCGGTGGCAGGCAGGAGCGTCCTCGCAAGTAGCAGGTGCGAACGTGCGAACCCCCCTCGTCGTCCTTGCCTCTCCAAAGGCGGGGGTCAGGGTCTCCAAACGGGCAAGCGCACAGGGCAGGCCTTACCACGCGACAGGCCAAGGCAGAAGGTGTGGGTGTGCATGTGGGTGGAAAGGTGGGGGTTTCCCATGGCTGCTGCCATTTCCTGCCCTTTCTTGCCCTTTCCTGCCCTTCCTGCTCCCACTGCCTATTTGCATTCGTTTCGGGGCGCCAATCCTGCCTGTTGCCCTGGCCCACCGCTGCGCCCACCGCCCACCGCCCACCGCCTACCGCCTGCTGCCGCCCACCGCCCTTGGCCGCCACCGCCGCCCGCCGCCGCTGCTGATGCCATGCTATGCCATGCCATGCCATGCCACGGCCAGGCCGTCACTGCTGCCACTGCTGCTGCTGCCCGCCGTGACGAGGCGCCACGCGTAGCCAGGCCATGGCAGATGGTGACGACAAGACGCGATAACAGCGCGCGCCCTCACTCGCACTCGCACTCGCACTGGTGCCCTCCGCATTGCCGGCCCACCCCAACCCCGGCCTCCGGGTTCGTGTTGTGTTGAGTGGGATACGTACATACGACTACACGACGCTAGGTGTACATAGACACGGTACTTGGTGCAGCCGCGCGTGCAAGTCAATACTCGATGGAGCCTCCGGACGCCCGCCGCCGCGCCCTTTGCAGCTCCACGGCGGCCTCTCACCACCCCGCCTCCACGTCAATGTGCCCCGGCCGCCCACTGTGCGCGCATGGAGCCTGCAACCACAAGCGCCATGGGCCATGGCGCACAGCGCACCACGATTAGTATCATGCAGGTGGCCACAGGGATGCGCCAGACGAGCTGCACCGGCTTCATGCGAATGCTCGCCCGCCCTCGCCCCCGTCAACAGCGACTCGACGCGCTGCGATACGAGGCGCCGTGAGACGAGGCCGAGTGCGAGCGTTGGCACCACGCCCTCGCCCGCGCCCACTCGCTGCTTTCACTCACGCCCACGCTCACCATCACGCCCTCGGTCACGCCCCCCCCCCCCAGCGCCTATCAGCACCCCCGGCCACAGCCTGGGTGGGGGGACGACATTGGCAGTGCAAGGCGTCAGGAAGCCTGGCCGCCTTTGACCACCGACACGGACTACCGCGAGCTTGTGGCGTACGCTCCGAAATGCTGGCCAAGCCCTGTCTGCCGTTGCGATAACGACCCACTCACTCGCACTGCGCCTGCTTGGGGCTATCACGCACCTCCGACTTTCAGCCCGTCATCTGCCGCTCACCTGCCTCTGTCTTTTACATACTCTCTCCGCCGGCTGCCTCTGCCTGCCTCTGTCTCTTCCCCGTCTCTCGTCTTCCTCGCCCTCGCCCTCGCCCTCGCCTCGCCGCGCCCCGCCGCCCACACGGCTGCCTTAGCCCCACGCCAAAACTCGACTGACGTTCCCGCCGCCTCGGTACACCACCAACGTCACCCAGAGAGCGAAATGGTCCATGCGCCTGCTGCCCACAATTCTGCTCCCGCACGCAGCCTGAGCACGCGACCTCCAAACAGCTCCCCCTCTGCGGAGGCGAGAGTCTGTGAGGACTGCTCCACAGCAACATGATAATACCGCGCAATCTCTACAGTCCCGTTGCCCCAGAGCCCCGATCCCGCATCGCCAACAACCCGACCCTCCTCTACAGCTGGTGGTGCACCGTCTTCTCCGCAGTCATTATCGGCGTCCGCCTGTCTGGCCGCTACATCCGCAATGAGCAGCTCTTCCGCGAAGACAAGATCATGGCCCTCAGCATCTTTCCTCTGTTTGCGCGCATGGGCTTTGTCCACGTCGTCTTGATCTACGGCACCAACAATGTCAACACGGCCAACTTGACAGACCCCGTCAAGATTCGCCATCGCGAGATTGGCTCCCAGATGGTCCTGGCTGCAAGGATATCCTACGCCCTTTTGTATGTGTACCCGCCCCGTTTTGCTTTTTCCAGCTCCACTAATGCTTTCCTAGCATCTGGTTGGCCAAATTCACCGTTTCGGAATTCTTGAAGCGCCTAACGGAGCGTTTCTGGAAAAGGGGGTACGAATGGGGACTGCGCGGCATCCGCATCTTCCTGCTGGTTACCTTTGTCATGGTTGTCGTGGCCACTCTTGTCGAGTGCCGCCCAATCACGCATTACTGGCAAGTGATTCCAGACCCAGGACCTCAGTGCCGCCAGGGCTATGCTCAACTCCTCACCATGGGCATCGCCGATATTGTCACCGATATCCTCCTGGTTGCCTTTCCCATTCCCATCATTGTGCGCTCGGGGATGCCCCTGAAGCGCAAAATCTCCCTCACAGCCCTCTTCTCCATGTCAGTCGCCCTCATCATAGTCACAGGAGCCCGCATGCCCTTGGTCATTGATAAAGACGGTCTCCAGCAATTCCGCACTGTATTTGCCTCTTCCGAGATTTTGGCTGCTGCCATCGTGTCCAACGCCATTATCCTAGGCTCATTCCTTCGCGATCGCGGCGTCAAAAAGCCAAAGTTCAAAGCACCCTCAACCATCGACAGCGCAGAACGCCGAGAATCCGCGCGTCGTCTTACACTCCAGGCTCGCAGCAGTGACGAAGACCTGGCACGGTCGTTGGGATACCGCACCAAGCCCGAACTTCTCGAGAAATCACCAAACGTGCCCAGACCAGCTCCTGTAGCGGACCTCGCCCTCTTAGCACCCGCAACACAGTCTGGACCTTTTGCAAACACCAACTGGAAGTTTCCTGACGAAGAGGCGAGCGTCTCTCATGGCGAAGAGTACTCGAACCCAGCGACGGAAGATGCACGGGACCCCATGCCCAGTCCTCGCTGCGGCAGACGAGTATCGTGGTTTGACGTGGGCGGACTACTAGACAACACAGCAGCGGCTCCCTCACCCACAGACTCTGTAATTGCGCACGACTTTGCCACGCAGCACAGGAGAGGTTCCCGAGCCTCCACTTCCATCATGTCCATGTCAAATGGCCGTACATTTTTTCCACAAGCTCGACGGAACTCGCGGCTCTCACAAAAGTCCGAGGACGTGGAAATGTGCCCCCGGCCCACGCAACAGCTGCAAGATCTCGGCGGTCTGCTCTCGGAAGAGTGCGAGAGCGAGGAAGCCGAATCGACTGTGTCTCCCCAACGCAGTTTTCCGCACGAGCGAACCTCGACTATGCGCCGCACATCGACACGTTCAACACGAACAAGCTACGACGTCCCTTCTTTGCGAGACCCCGGAGGATTGCTCTCGTCTGTGCCCTCGGCCACATCGATTCGGCGTACCACGACCAATCAGAGCCGTGACGTACCAAGTTTGCAGGATGCTGGCGGGCTTCTCAAATGATGACGCACCCTCTTCTTTTCTCCCTAATGTTCCTCTTGTTTGATACCCCGGCTTTACAGCCCCTTCATTCATGTCATTTGCATGGTGCTTTGCGTTTGCTCATTTACCACATGTACGATATATCTCTTTTGATTTGGATTGGCGTTGACGGGTCTATGACTGATGGGCTATGACGATCGCACGAGCGCTGCTCATGTACCAGAGATTTGCGTTTGACAATCTCAATCTGGTATTGAGCAGCAGGACTTGTAACACGCTACTATAATTATCCCGGTAGTCAGCGTAGCTTACGTTAAGCCGTCAGATTGCCGCATTTAAATGAAGTTAATATGCATGCTCGGCTCTTTGATTCAGGTGCTTGCATTGTGCTCCATATGACGCTACACAAATGCGCGCTAAGGCGCGATCCCCGATCGATTACCGAAGCCATGGTTCCATTCTGCAACCCTACAGCCCGAGTAGCGTTCGGGTATTTTTGCCATGATGTCTTGGCTCGTCAACGGCGCGGAAAAAGTAACTGGGGTCTTAGCTCGTGCTCGCGCTACTAGCAACAGCTCCATCGTCAGCTCACTTCCCCACACCCCTCCCCCGCAAGTGAGCTGTATTCTTGTGAGAATGAGCGATGATGCGCCTTCACTGGAAGAAATCACCCGACTGACCCACGACGAGCTTACTACCGCGCAGAAGACGGACCCAATTCGCGAATGTGGCCGCGCTGCGCTGGCACTTCTTCCTCATGACCCTGAGCTAGCTCTGCAGCTTGCATACCAGAAACTGCACGATGTTCCCTACAAGGATGTAAAGACTTGCTGGCGGCGACTCTATACAGACGCTACTCTCTGGAAGGTTCTGACGCGGGTACATGGCGGGAGAGCAGAACAAGCCGAAGATGCGGCGATGCATGGTTGGATTGATGAGGTTGTGCGGCTCCTAGATATGGCTCTCATACTCACGGGTGCGCCTGAGAGGGCAGAGCTCATGGAACTATGGTTCGCAGCACTGAATGCTGTTGTGACTTTAGAACCCGAGTCCAACATGGTAGGCTCAGAGCGGCCATGCAAGCGACAAAAGCTTTCCTCGTCACGTTTTCCCGAGAGTTTCCCTGCAAACATTCCCGATCCGTCGCCTGTCCTTCGATGCCCAGTGCCACGGACAAAAAACCCCAGTCTACAGGCTTTCCAGAATAAAGTTGGGTCCGCGGAAACACACACACCGTGCATAATAGAGGACGCAATACACCATTGGCCGGCGCTCAAAGAGCGGCCCTGGAGCAGCCCGGAGTATCTGCTGCGGCAGACGCTTGGAGGAAGAAGACTGGTTCCGGTGGAGATTGGAAAGAGTTATACCGACGAAGGCTGGGGCCAGCGCATCATTACTTTCCGCGAGTTTATGGAAACGTACATGCTAGACGACCAAAGTACGTTGTCGATCGACGAGTCTCCAAACGAACATGGCAAACCCACGCCCAACGCTGCATCGCCACCGACACGCGATCAGCCCGTAAAACCGGTCGGCTACCTCGCTCAACACGATCTCTTTGCGCAAATCCCCTCGCTACGCCTCGACATCGCCATTCCCGATTACTGCTACACGGACCCTGCCCCGTCCCGCCACCTCACGCACATCAAGCCCGTCGCAAAGCTGGAAGAACCGCTGCTAAACGCTTGGTTCGGCCCCGCAGACACCGTCTCCCCTCTGCACACAGACCCCTACCACAACATCCTCGCCCAGGTCGTGGGCTACAAGTACGTGCGGCTCTACGCGCCCTCCGAGACACCCCGCCTGTACCCACGGCGCACGGATGAATCCGGCGTCGATATGAGTAATACCAGCCAAATCCATCTCGACCACGCAATGGCTTGCCATCCGTCCATTTCGTGCTTCCCCGCCGCGTCATGCACTAGAAACAACAACGCTGCATCTAGTGCTGCGACGCAGAAACAGGAATTCCAAAACAGGTACCCGCATTTTGAACACGCGCTGTATGTTGAGGCGATTTTGGGCCCTGGTGATTGCTTGTATCTTCCCGTGGGCTGGTGGCATTATGTTCGGAGTCTTACGCCGAGTTTTAGCGTGAGTTTTTGGTTCAATTGATAATACCTATTTACCTGTCGTATGCATGAATGGGGGGGTTGTGTTTTATATGTGTGTGTGTGTGTGTCGAGCTACCGGTCGATCGGGGCATCAGATGCAATAGAGACTTGGCGATAATGGAATGGTTATACTCGAGATCAGATATATAGATATGTGCATGGAAAAAAAATAGTATTTGATTATTACACGTTCTAATGACTTGAAACTCATGTTTGTATGCGTGTCTAATGAAAGAAGGGAAAGAAAAAAAAAGCTTACCGCATAGAACCTACCCCTCATGGTGTATACTGTACAGATATCTGTTGGTGAACCTTTTCATGACGGGTTCGGCCGTTTGTATGATTTGGAAAAAAAAGTCCTGAATCCATGAGAAAAAAAAACACCACGCTATGCAAAAATATCCAAAAAAAGTCTTTTACTTCCTCATGCCAGAGAAATCCTTCAAGATGCCAATCATGTGCGTGTTTGTCTGCTTGCCACCACGACGAGGACCCTTCTTCTTCTTGTTCGTGGGAGCAGCAACAATGACTTTTGCCTGGGTAGCGGCCGTCATTTTGTTGGCTAGAAGCACCTTTCGCAGCTCTTCCGGGTTGTCGGGCACCTGGACTGAATGCCAGGCCTTTGCAAATACCGGGTCCATGGGCAGCATGAGTGACGGGTCGTTTGCCCATACCGTTTTGGGGACGCCGTCCTTTGCGCGGCGCACCAAGACTTCGTTCTTCTCCTCCATCTTGGTGATGTCTTCGGCTACGGTGGACCAGCCATCCTTGAGGTCCTTGATCTGCAGGCCCAGGGCCGACTTCTGCGTTTGAAAGTGACCCTTGAGTTGGGCACGGTTGTGGATGTCTAGCTTGCTCTTATACTTGTACTTTTCGTTCTGCATGCAAAAAGATACGTGGTTAGTATAAACACAAGACGCAGCCTCTGCATGGGCGCTACTTACATGTGAATCCCACGAAATCCGGTTGCCCTGGTTGTCTGCACGCATGAGCTGGCGGAGCTGCTCGCGCTGGATATGGCCAGACGGGATGTTGAGATATTCCATAATGTCCTCGAAGCTGTGCCATTTGTCCTTGCGCTCGCGCAGAAAGTCGTTGACGTAGGTGAGGCGGGTGAAGACGTGCTCGCCCGTGCCCGTGTCCTGGGGCTGCGAGTAGACGACGGGAGGCGCGCCATCAGCAGGACGCTTGCGCTTGGAGCCGCTTGTGGATGAGGTCGATGGCGTCGGCGAGGGCGCGTTGGCTGTGGATGCCGAGTTTGCTTTAAGGAATGACATGGCGGATGTGGTCAGATACGGCCGGTTGGGTCAGGTGTGCAGCGTCTAGCTAAAGAGTCGCACACAGCGACGGGAGATGCGGGCGGCGTGGATTAGATTAGTGAGCGTGGGTATGGGGCGAGGCGAGGGGTGAGGTTGAAGGAAGGTCAGGGCAGCCGTGAAAGAGAGGTTCAAGGCAGCCACAGGGCTGGGGCGGTGCTATGAGCGCATGCAGCGCTAGGACATGGCCCGTGCACAAGCCTGCCGTCAAACACCTGCAGGCTCGCGACTCTGCTTGACGAGAACCCCCGTCTCGTTTCTCGTTCGCGTCAACACCATCGCCCGTTTCTTATTTGTCTGCCGTTCTTTTGCCCCTCCCCTAGCCGGCTGTCGAGGATGCGCCGAGACGTGCCATAATTCACCACACACAGCATGGCGGCGGCTACAGTCGACGTTGGCTATCTAGCCGCGTCGTATTCCGTCCCAGATACGACCCTGCAGTCACTACTATCCGCACCCACCGTCGAGCTGGTTCAGGAACTGCTCACCCACATTGAGGCCAAGGCGCGCGCATACGATGACCTCCAGTCGGAGAAGATCCGCATTGATGTCGAGCTCGAGGCGGCTGTCCAGGCCGGCGAGCAACGCGCGCGAAGTCTAAAGGCCACCGCAGAGAAGGCGCAAAAAGAGGCCGAGGAGCTGAAGCAGAAGCTCGCCCATGAAGGTACGAGATGTGGCAGCCAACTCCATGCCAGCCCAATTAACAAGTGTGTTTGTACAGAGAATGCCAGGCAAGAGGCCGAGACGGCACTGCACAATCTGCAGGCCGCAGCCAGCAGCTCGACGTCCGAGACGCAGGCGCTTGAATCGCGCATCAAGACACTCGAGGCCCACAACCGCGACGCCATTGCCATGCACGAGGCCAAGACGGCTGCACACGACCGCCTCGCAAAGGAGCTGTCGGAGCTGCATGAGAAGTGGCTGGAGCTGCGCAAGCAGGCGTCTGCACTTGAACAAAAGAACCAGTCGCTCGAGAGTGATGCTACCAATGTCAAGTTCCGCGAGGCCAACTTGCAGCAGGAGATTGAGCAGCTGCGCAGCAACAATGACTGGTACACCACCGAGCTCAAGACGCGCTCCGACGACCACAGCAAGTACCGCAAGGAGAAGAATGCCCAGATTGCGCAATTGCAGCGCGACATTGCCGAAGCCTCGGAGACCATTGATACCCTACGCCGCGCCGAAACGCTTCTACGACAGCACATTGACGAACTCAAGAACAAGGCCGAGGAGGACCGTCTGCGCATCGAGGAACTCGAGAATGCTGCATCGGCAGCCGAGGCAAACTTCCGCATTGAGCTCGATGGCGCCCGACGACTGGCGTCACTGCACCAGCAGAACAACGAGATGACAAAGAAACGTCTGGAGCAGCTACAGGCCGACAGCGAGCGCATACAGGAGGACGCTGCTACCGAGATTGGCCAGCTGCAGGCCGATGTTGAGCTGGAGCGCAACAGGGCTGCCGAAGCCGAAGCGCGTACTGCTGAACTGGAGACGCTGGTCGAGACACTCAAGAGCGACAACTCTGACCTCCGAAGCTCGGTACGTGTCCCGGCAACACCGCGCCATGGCATGAGCATGAATGGTGGCTTCAGCACTCCGGGCAGGGCAGCGTCGCCCGCTGTTTTCTCGCCTGGCGGCTCGCAGCTCAAGGCAGATGCATCCAAGACGCAGTTGCTTATTGAAAACAACGATCTCAAAAAGGAACTCCGCAAAGTCCGGGAGAAGCATGAAGAGCAGACCAGCATTCTCAACGACATGCTTCAGGAGCTTGAACGCCGCCAGCCTGAATTCGATGAGCTTCGTCGCCAAAACGATGCGCTTGTCGAGCAGAACAATGATATTTCAAATCTGCTCGAAGAAGCCATTGCTGAGCGTGAGGCAGCCCAGCGAGACTCGCGTAAAGCAATGGGCGATTTGGAAGGCGTCCAAAACGAATGTGCGCTGCTCCAGCGCCAGGTTCAAGACACAACGATCCAGCTGCGGTCGCTTCTGTGGCGACGCGAAGCAGAGGAGAATGGCATCGGCAGCCTCCCGGAGGACCAGCAAAAGCTTATTCTCGAAACCGTTGACAAGAACGAGCTGCCAGACGACCTCCTGCCGGACGATTCGCCGACACACAACATGATCACCAAGCATCTTGTACTCTTCAAGAACGTGGTCGAATTGCAGCAACAAAATGCCGAGCTTCTACGCACCATCCGACAAGTAGGCGACGAACACGAGAAGCAAGAGGCACGCATGGCTTCCGAGCAGTACCAGAAAGACATTGAGGAGCTTGGCCGTCTGCGCTCTGTGGTTGCTGAAAAGGAGGAGGAGATCAAGACTCTTCATGTGCGTTCACAGACGCTAAAGACTGAGCGCGACATGTACAGTCGCATTGTAAGTGGCCGGGGCCAGTTACCTTCGCACTCGCAGTCAACCTCTGCCTTTGCACAGTCCGTACCAGCGACCGGAGGTCTATTGCAGCTCGAAAACGGTCCTCAGTCTCGCGAAATTCCAGAATACAGCAAGCTCATCAAGGACCTTCAATCCCACATTGACTTGCTGAAGGAGGAGAGTGCTACGGACCGCGCTACACTCAAATCGCAAGTTGATACTCTGACCAAAGATAACTCTCAGCTTCAGAGCGATAAGCTCCGTTTTGAGTCGCAGGTACGACGCGAGCAGGACAGGTATGCTCGTCTCGAGGGCAGCATCAAGCTCCTCCAGTCTGAAAAGGACTCTCTGCAGGAGCGCTACAACAAGATCCATGCGACTATGGCTCAACAAGACGACAGGCTTGTCCAGGCCACTCAAAATGCTGCCGAGGCTGAAGCCCGTCTTCAAAGTCTGCAGGGCGAAATGGTGCAGCTGAAGGCAGCACAGCAGATGTCTGCGACAATTGAGGCACGTCTCAAGGAAAGGAACCAAGAGTTGATTACGGAGCGAGATCGTCTGAGCAACATGGTTTCTTCTATTCAGAGCCTGCGCAATGAAGCTGAATTGGCTACTGCAGAAAGCCGACGGGAGCTGCAGAACACGGTTGACAAGCTTCGAGCTGATTTGCAGACTGCCGAGCGCAAATTGGAGGATGAGATTTCGGAGCACAAGAAAGCTGTTCAGATGCGGGATTACGAGCGCACCGAAGCACAGCGAAGGATTGATGATCTCATTGCCGCACGGAACAGTGCCGAAGTCAAGTCTGCGACGGCGGACTTTACGCGTCAACAGCTTGAACAGCGCATCAGGGATTTGCAAAACCAGCTTCAATTGGCTGAAGAGCGCGTACAGGCTCTCCAGCCACGTTCTGCTTCGCAGGCTAATGGCTCGGATGAGGAGGAAGATGCAGCCAACCGTGAAGAGGAGCTTACTGCAGAAGTCGCGGATCTTAAGCGCAAGATTGAACGCAAGGAGGAAGACGTGGAAGCTCTCAATGCTCAAATTGCAGGCTTCCAAGAAATCGCGCAGGATGCTGAGAACCGGTTGCAGACGTTTGTCGAGGCCCACGAACGACTCCAAGAGCAACTTAATATGGCGCAGGAGGAGAAGGATGCCACGATTCAAGATCTGCAGCAGCGTGTTGAAGACATCTCTTCTGAGCTTGCCACCAGCAGCACCGAGCTCACCCAACTTCGAGGACAGCATGAGCAGGACACGTTGGTTCTTCGGCAAGAAAAGGAACTTCTCGAGTCAGAAATCACCAGACTCAAGAACGACGTGGCTGACTACAAGACCGAGGCTGAGAACCAAATGCAATACGTCAAGACGCAAGCCGACATTGCTGAGCGTGCTCAAAAGGACTACGAACGCGAATTCCAGAAGCACGCCGAGAGTATGGAGAAGCTTCGGGAACTACGAGAGCAGCACAATCAGCTCCAGACTCAGATTACAGAGTTCAAGACACAAGCCGAAGCCGCACGCACAACTCTGGAGCAGAGTCAAGAGCACTGGAAGTCGACCGAAAGCCGATACGAGGACCAGATTGCAGAAGCTAAGCGCCGTCACGATGACTTGAAGCAGTACAACCAAACATTGCTCAAACAGTTCGATGAATACAAGGAGCAGATCAACAGCCTGAAGAACAACCGTGGTGTATCAGCAGCGGCTGGTGACACAGGCAGTACCGCACCGGGCTCGAGCAATCTTCAGGACATTGAGACCTACCTCCGCCGCGAAAAGGAGATTCTAGAAGTACAATTGAACCTCAAGGTTCAGGAATCTAAGCGACTGGAGCAACAACTCACCCACGCTCAAACTCAACTCGACCAGACTCGGGAGAAGCTGCTCGAGGAACAAGCCAAGGCCTCGGGTTCGCAAAGCAACTCCAGTCTTGCTCATCTCAACAAGAACCTGGAAGAGCTCAATGTCTACCGCGAAAGCAACGCAACCCTGCGAAGCGAGAACACTCGTCTCCAGAATTCGTTTGCTGAAAAGGCCAAGGCGCTCGAGGACCTTCAAAGTGAGCTTGAGCCATTGCAAGTTCGTGTTTCCGAACTCGAAGGCGAAATCGAACTCAAGGCTGGTCATCTCAAGGCTGTTGAAGAAGATCGTGACCGTTGGCAGAAGCGCCACCAGGACGTGCTTCAGCGCTACGATCGCATCGACCCCAAGGAGCTTGAGGATCTTAAGAAACAGATTGAGGACTTCAAGGCCGAGCGCGACCAGGCACTGCAGCAAGTCTCGGGTCTCAACGAACAGATTACGGACCTCACCGCCAAGTTGGAGAAGGCAGTCAGCGAGAAGGATGCCGAAGTCAAGTTTGCAAGGGATAGATTCCAGAAGATCCACAATGAGCGCATGGGTAAGAAGAATGAAGAAATGAAGGTCATTGCTACAGAGCGGGACGAGGCTCAGAAGTTGGTTGAGAACTTGAAGCAAGAACTCGAAGGTCTGAAGCAGCAACTCGCAAACGCACAAACAGCACGTGCGGATGCTGGGCAATCACAGGAACGCATCTCGATTCTGGAGAAGGAGCTGGAACAAGCACGCAGGCAGCTTCAAACTGTCCAGCAAGAGCTCGAGGCTGTCAAGGCTGCTCGGGATGAAGCAATTGCCCAAGCAAACGCATCTTCACAGCAGGTCGGAGGCGCTGATGCGGGCGAAGGCCAGGCCAATGATGGAAATTCGGCAGCTTTGGCACAGCAGGTCTCCGCATTGCAGAAGCAACTTGAAGAAGCTCAACAAAAGGTCGCCGAAGCTGAGAGCAACCGGTCTGCTGCGGCTGAGCAGCTGGCTAACCTGCAAGCCCAATTGTCGTCGCAAAACACCAATCTCGAGAGGCTCCAGAAAGAAACTGTGGGTTGCTGTAGTCTCCCCCGTAAACATGGAATGCTAACTTTTTACAGACGGAGAAGAGCACAACTCTCGATGAGCTTCGACAACAACTCTCACAGACACAAGCTCCCTCGAATGTCTTACCTGCACCAGTCACTGACACGGCCTCGCAAGCTGAGATTGCAAAACTCAAGGAAGAGCTTGCTGCGAAGGCGCAAGAAATTGATGACTTACGGGCTCAGCTTGCTACTGCGAAATCCAATGAGGGCACATCAGGCACCTCGCAGGATAGCGACGAGATTGCTGCCATCAAGGCCTCACTGGATCAACGCGAAGCCCAATTGAAAGAACTGGAAGCATCACTGAACGGCCGAGAAGGCGTGATTGCCAAGAAGGAGGGTAACCTGGAGAACTTGAGAAAGAAGGCCAACGAGCGTGTCTCGGCAATCAGGGCCGAGACTGACGCAGAGCTTGCTCGATTGAAGGGTGCTCATGAGGCCGAGCTCGAACGTTTACACCAAGAGAGGCAAGCTGCCGCAGCATCGAATGATGTTGCTGCTCCTCAAGCGACTCCAACTGAAGCATCGACCGAACCGTTACCCGAAGGCATGATCCATACAGAAGACCTGCCGAGACCTAGAGTGACCGACAGCCAACTTGCTCAATGGTTCAGGACCAACGCCGGGGCGCTTAGGGTAGTCAAGGCGCAAATCCAAAACAACCTGAAAAAGGCAACCACTTCAAGGGACGAAACAATTGCCAAGTTGCGTCAAGAGATTGAACAGATTAACACTCAAAAGGCTATCGACGGAATCACAGGTGTGAAGCAGGAGCCAGAGACAGCGAAGCAAGAAGGCTCCAACCAGGATGTCACTGCAATCAACACCGCCTGGGAAGAGAAGTTGAAGATGAAGCTGCAGGAGAAGGAGATGAGCATGAACAAGACGTACGAGATGAAGTCGAGAGTCAAAGACTCACAACTCATGCTCGTCCGAGCCAGGTTCAATTACGTCGAGACGGCTGCAAAGGAAACACCAACTGAGGAGGTTGCAAAGGTGTATGCGATTGCAATGACTCAGAAGCCCAAGCCTGACAACAAGGCTGCCGGTCTGCCAGCTACGCCCGCAAAGCCTGACTTGACACAACCTCCGCACCATAACCAAGCATCAACACCATTACAGGCTAGTGCGACACCTGTGCAGCAACAAGCGGCACCTTTAACAAGCAACACCCCTCAAGCTAACGGCGCCAACGCCGCTGGAGCTCAATCTGGTCTTCCTCAACAGCCAAACCCTTTTCTCCAATCCCTTGGGCAGGGTAACCCCTTCTTGCAAGGTTCAAACCAAATGGGTCGGGGCCTGCCTCCACCAGGCTTTGTAGCACAGAACCAAGGCCAACAGCAGGGCCGCGGTCGCGGTGACGGTGTAGGAACCGGACCGCAAGCTATCCGCGGCGCGCTTCAGTCCAATATCCCGCGCGGAGGCGGCACCGGTATTCCGCTACCTGGTGGTCGTGGACGAGGCCAGCAGCAGAACAACCAACAACCCGGCCAACCCCAGACCCAGACTCCAGGCCTAGTCCTTTCGCAGATTGGTCGTGGTGGTGGTCGAGGCAGCGGTCGTGGCCGCGGAAATATCGGACAACCGGCCCAGACACAGAATCAAGCATCGCCGGGCCGTGGGCTCAACCCTAGCGCTGCTGGGTTCCAGCCTGCCAACCAGGCTAACCAGGCTGGTCGCGGGCAAAAGCGTAATGCGGAGGACGAAGGCGAGGGTGGCACGAGGGGTGGCAAGAGAGCACGAGGTGGACGTGGAGGAGGAGGTGGAGCGCCAGCTGCTGCTGAGTAGCCAGCAGTCTGTGCCACCAACAAAAAAAAACACACATGTATGAAGATTAATGGGGTGGGACGTGTTTATCATCATTGACTATCGTTTTCTTTTCCTACTGTCCTGTCATGTCATGTTCTTCTGCGTTTCTTTTTTCTCAATAATTACGTTCCAAAGCTTTCCAATGCCTACCTTACCTGCGTACTTCATGTTGTATGCGGCATTTGATTCTTTAACCCCAAAACAAGATAACATGGCAAAAATGGCTGACTGGACGCATGCATGAATGGGGATTCCAAATAAGTGCAGGTCTTGCCACTAGCCTTGAATACAGCTGCAATGATCTGCGCCAATCAACTGGCCAACACCTGAACTCCTTCGTTATCCCCTGACTCGCCTCTCGTTGACATTGCTGCAACTAAATACTTTACATTCCTATTTGTCAAATGGCTGGTTTCACAGATAGCTCGGGCGCAGCCCAATGCAAACAACGTCATTAAATACTAACTTCTTTGTTCGTAAAACCTGACATTTCGCACCATCATGAACAGTGTATCACAGATACTACTAGAGCGTCTCATTCAGCAAATATGGGGCAATCATACAAGTCCTAGCCCATTCCCCTCCTGCATCAGACCGTCTGCTTCAGTGGGGAATCCCTGGCGTTGTTCAATGCCACAAGCATAACCTCGTCTTCGTCGCCCGGCCGGATATTACTCTCGTCAGTGGTATCCACAGTCTTTGTGATTGTTGTATCGAAGCCGAATTTGCGCCACGAATTCAAGTTTGATTTTGACTCTTTTTTCGGCGTGTCGGACGGCTTGTTGGGCGTGATGGCGCCCGAGTCGTCGTAGTGCTCGTATTGGTTGCTGTTGTGCGTGGAGCCGAAGCAGCTGGGCACGAGGATGGCGAGGAAGCGGCGTAGCGCCGGCATGCAGACGCAGAAAATGCCGAGGAAGGCTTCGAGAACGGACCAGTATGCCGTTGCGACGTAGTCGTATGTGGGATTTGGGGATTTGGCGAATTTGACGAGCGTCTGTAGGCGGATTATAGATACGACGGTTGTGCTGGGCATGGTTAGATGTGCGACGATGGAAACAGGGGAAGGACTTACAGGGCGCCGATGCTAAACATCATGATGATGTAAATCTTCTTCTGGGAGCTCATGGACAGATTCAGGAGCTCTGGGATCGGGATACCCAAGATGATGGAGTCGAGGAAGATGTTGATGGCAGCGTGGGACCATGTAAATGCGTTGAAGTTGATACATTTGCCCTTGTGCTCGCGGTCCCAGTTTGTCCAGATGTACGAGACCGGTATGCAGTTGAAGATGGTCACGAAGGTGAAGACAATACAAAAGACGACGCACACTACCAACAGAATGTGAGCGGCGCGTCTGAATTGTTTGCGCGGAAATATGCGCAGGCAAAACAGGAGAAACGACATTTTTGTCGTGGCGACGGCGGCAAAGTAGAAGACTTCAGTGATCCAGGTCAGCTGCGTTGGTTAGTGAGCGATTGAGCCTCTGCGTTTTGGAACTTGGGCTTACCCGCACGACCGAGTTGATCTTGTCAGGGGCTAGTGTCCAGACGTCTTTTCCGAAGCCATCGACAGACATGAAGAACTCGACTATGCCCATAGGAAGGGCAAGGATGAGTGAGATGACGGCGAAGAGGTCGTCTACGGCAAACGATTTGCCAACAGCGTAGCAACGAGCGAGGATTGCTAGAATTGCTGCGCCGCCTGACACACCAGAGATAATGGGCGTGATTCTTGTGTTGTCGCGAACGGGTTCTCCGCACATGGTTGCCGTGTTGTTCCTTGCCACTGTTGCTGTTAGTCTCGTGCGGTTCTTCAGCAGTGTTTCATAGCTCACCCAACGCTTGCTTTAGGGTACATGATGCCAGGACGCAGTTTGAGATGGAAGTCATCAAAGGCGCGTCTAAGCAGATGCAGGTTGTGTTTGTTGGCGCGCAGGCATCCTGTGCCTGGAGGCTCGATTGCAAGCATTTCACCTTGAGCGGGTTAGTTTACGCAGTGCTTCGAGAACATTGTGACTTACAGCGCATTCCGGCATGGGCTGCTGTGCAGAGACTGTACCAGCCAGCAGTGCAAAGGCAGCCACGCCATACGCAAGCCTGCTCCACGGGTTCATGACAACTGTGTATCAAGGATGAATAAAATAAACACTCTATTACTGGTTGTAAATCCCAAAGATAGGTATGAGTCAGCTGCGTAGTCGTACGACTCGAAGTCAACCATGTACACATATGTAGGTGAGAGTGGCGGTGGCCATGAAATAAAGATGCTTCCACAAGCCGCGTAGGGGAGGATGGCAAATGCCGGTACTCAACGGTCGTTTCCCCACAATCCATACCGACGATCAGTAGGAATCCGAAGTCCGTGAACGTCCCTGTCATATTATGTCGCCCTCCGGGCCTTTCCTGGACTATAAAAGCTTCACCCTGCCGTCAGGAGCCATGAACTAAGAACCGTTCGTACAGAGAGAGCATCGGCTTACTACTTTGAGTCATACATGTCTCATGGCCTTTTCTGCATCCCTGACTGACACTTTGTCAGGACGTCCTGGACCTCCCGGCAGCTTACAGGCCTCAACGTTTTTTCCCCAGTTCGGATGTCGGCGAATACCTGGAACTAGGATACTCGCATCGAACCCTTATCTCGGTGAGCGTGCCGGTTTCACCTCGCCCATTTTCTATTCCTTTTCTTCGCAGAAAAATGACGATCTGGTTTCATTTTTGCGTGGCCCTGTGACGTACTGAGTGGTATCTAGATTGAGCAGTGTCTAGCACTACTGTGCAGTTGCTGATCGCACCATGTATGGAGGTGGGATTGGATGTGTTGCTCTCCAGCCACATACCAACTACATGCCATTCATGGATGTTCCATACACAATGGGGCCATTTTGATCGTGCTCAGATAAACTTTGACCTCCTCCCTTGGCAACAAAAGGCCCGTTTGGTAGAGACATTTGTGGTGCTGACAGAGTACTCGCATCAGAGTGTTTTGGCCTCCAGGGAATGGCCGGATGACACTAAGTCAGTTACACGGATCCGGTCCAATGGGAAAGGATCCCTGACTTCCTGGGACGGACCTAAAAGTCGGTCGAAAAACCTCAGGTACCAAAGCCATGATGGGTTACCTCGGTATTCACTGCTGATCTGCAGAGATGGACGCAGACCTTCATGTTGCCCATCTATCTGAGACACATTCTCTGAGCCGCTTGGGCTGTCGTATGTCTCTCCTGAGTCTATCGACACGCGGTCACAAGCTAGACCCGGCAATAGGGTTGCATTCCGCCCATCCCCGCGCCTCCCCGCGTGTTCCTCCGCCTAGCTTTATTGGCTCATCTTCCCCTTGGTTCTAGACTTGAGCAATACTACACAACACCCGTGAAGAGTATGTTGAGCCGTTTGATCGACTGCCAGTCTATCTCCCGATACCCACGGCTCCTCATCCATGACTATGACAAGATGAAGTGTAAACTTTATCTTGGGCGCCTATCGCACAGCATATCGATATTGTCTTCTCTGTTATCGCATATGCAGTCTTGGTGTCTGGCTTAGCACATGTTTCAACAACCAACCACCTGCAGAGCCCCGCAAGACACTGGCAACCCACGTCAGCACGCAATATGCATTCGACGTACGCAAAACCTGCTTTGGATTTTCAAAAGCCATCCCTGACCCATTACCATGGTCGGGAGTGATTCTGACTCGCGTGCACACCGGGCTTCATGCTTGGGGTAGGAAGGGCCGAACAGTCTGAAGCTAAACCGGATTCTGCTTGACAGCCGTATTGTCTAGAGACCCTTTAAGTTCTGAGGACATGGAATACCCAACAAAACGCATGCTTTGTTGCCGCCGTGCTGAAACGCTTCGGCAATTTTGTGCTTGGTAGTTATTCCAACGGGTTGCTCCAAATATTGAAAGCGTCGGTCGCCTCTGACAATTGTACCCATTCTCTTCGCTACCATTTGCCCAACATGTCGGGCCTCTCTAGCATTACCTCGGCATTTGCGCCGACTGTATGGATCTTTGTTGTCTTTCCAAGCTGTCTTGCTCTTTCTGGCCTTCTTTGGGTCGTGTACACTCGTACTCTCCACCCCCTAGCTTCGGTGCCAGGCCCGTTTTGGGCATCCATCTCGCGGCTATGGTACATGTACCGAGTCTATGTCGGTGACATGCACACGGTGCAACGGCAGCTTCATGAACAGTACGGGCCTGTTGTTCGCATTGGGCCCAACGAGGTCTCCACTGCCGACTTGTCCACGCTACCACAAATCTACCGGAACCAGCGACCTCTGATAAAGACTGACTTTGTAAGACCTGCTTCAAGTCTTTTCGGAGACAGATACTAATTAGCTTTGCAGTACTCTGTCTGGGGAGGAGGTACAATCAGCGAGCAGCTGGACCTCTTTGCAGAGACAAATGAGAGGGTCCACAGCAACCGCCGGAGGACCGTCAACCCTGTATATACACTGACCAATGTCTTGAAAAACGAAACCTATATCAACAAAGTGTCGGAACTATTTATCCAGCGCTTGGGCGAGTTTGCTGACCGCGGTGAATCCCTTGACTTTGGAGAATGGCTGCAGATGTAGGTTTGAATATTCTGAGACGCGATGAGACCACTGACAGTGATAGGTATACTTTTGACGTTGTTGGAGAGATTTTCTTCGGCAGCATGTTTGGCTTCCTAGAGCACAGCAAGGATCATGAGGCCTACATTGCCTCGTTGGACGCGCTTATGCCTGTGCTTTGCGTTGCAGCAGTAGCATCAAACTACATGCGACCCTTGGTCATGGGCTCGGCGATTGCTATACCAGTGGTGTTTAAAGCTCTCAAGGCTCTGGAAAGTATCAGGAACGCCGCCGTCATAGCTACCAAGAAACGAGTCAAGGAGGTTGAAGATGGCAAAGTCCCTCGAAATGATATGCTGCAACAGCTCTTTGATATTGTCCAGGAAAAGGGAGAAAAGGCCAACTTTAGCGGACGTGAGGTGACGTTGGAGGCATACGTTGCCATGTGAGAAGAACGTTTCCCTATAACCATTATCTACTGACCTGGCTGTAGGCTCGCTGGTTCCGACACGACTGCGATTGCTTTCCGCGCTACATTTTACTACCTGGTACGCAATCCGGAGATGCTCCGAAAGGCACAAGCGGAGATTGATGCTGCGGTTGCTGCTGGCCTGTTGAGTTCGCCAGTCAAATACTCCGAAGCCACTACCAAACTGCCGTATATCTGCGCGTCGATCAAGGAAGCCATGCGCATGCACCCAAGTGTTGGATTGAGCATGCAGCGATATGCACCAGAAGAGGGAATAGAGACGGGGAACAAGTTTATTCCAAAGGGCTACCGTATTGGAATGAATCCGGCTGTTGTCCATTTCGACAAGCAGGTTTTTGGTGACGACGCGGATGAGTTTAGGCCTGAGAGATGGCTAGTGAGCGAGGAGCAATGGAAGGCCATGGACAAGTGCCTGCTCACCTTTGGAGCGGGTACCAGGACCTGTGTGGGAAAGAATGTAAGTCTGCTTTGCATTTTACTTTCGCTTAGGTACTTACCAGATCCTGTAGATCTCTCTAGTCGAGCTGCACACCCTTGTCCCGGAAGTGCTTCGTCACTTTAAGCTGGAGATGACACACGACCAGCCCTGGACGACCAGCAACCGGTGGTTCAACAAGCAGACTGGTCTGACTATGAAGTTTGTTCGACGGTAGTTGCGCGTTTTTCTTTTGTCATTTTCCTTTGCACGTTTATATCCAATCTATCAGAAATCGGGCTGTTGTGTAATTGCGTGGTCTGCAGGTGGCATACAGCTTGGCAGAAGACGGAATTGCTGTGTTTGAACTTTAGCCTTGGTAGGCCTCCATCAGCATCATTCGACAGATGCGAGGTTTGCATCTTCATTTTTTGTAGATTTAGACATCCAATGCATTCAATTCGAGTTACAAAAAATCGATATCACTTGGATGTGACTGTTGGTCAAGACTAACACTGGGTGATGGTGATTTTTCGAAGACCAGTAGTGGCTAGTGGTGAGGCGTCAAATGTTCCAGGCTAACCGCTTCCAAGTGACATGGTAACCGCAGCGCAATGATTGAGTTTTGTAGGGGTCTATCCGGCTTTAGCCGCTGCATGAAACCATTTACTTACAAGGATATTGCCATGTGCGGACGTGATGGATTGCCTTGGTTCTGTTGTCGGGGATGGGCCCGTACATCTTTGAGTATAGCAACGCGTGAATTATTTGAAATGCTCACAAGTCGCTCTGTGGTCGAAAGCGCTCCATATTAAGGGGTGTTAACTAGCCCCACCACAAAGTGCGCGCGACCACAAAGTGCGCGCGCGCCTTACAACCACCTCAACCTCAACGCGTCGTATCCCCACCACCATGGCTAATATTGAGGCTGCGCTTGCAGCTATTAATGCCCTAGGACCTGATGAGCCTTTTTCGATACAGATATTGCAAAAAAATATGGTGTTGTTCGATCTACGCTTACCCGAAGACACCAAGGCCTACACGCCTCACGCGCGATAGGTGGCCAAAAACGGCAGCTCCTCCACCCACAGCAGG